TTTCTTGAGATAAAGGCATTTTTAATAATAGTGGTGATAAAACAACGCGTTGAAGAAAGGAAGTGGGTGGCGTAGGGAGAAATTCGTCGCTCGGTGGTATTCGTCGCTCGGTGGTTGATTACGTTAACTACTGCTCCTTTGATGAGTCATCTATGCTCCTTGTGCAGACGCCTGGGGCAAGCCTCGGCTCTTCGCATGAGCAGCCGAACAATCAGCTGGAGATCACCCGAACAGTGCATTCATCGACAAGGATTTAAAATGACGGCCTATCTAGAGACTACTCCGCAATATCTCAATTCTGTAGCTACTCTTCATATACAGATTTTCAAAGCCGACACCTAATCGCACAGCACCATCCCTTCTCTTGCACTATGTCCGGAGTAGCCAAACGCCGCCTCCAAGCTGTCAGCCAGCAGCTGGTCGAGGGTATCCCCGATGCAGGCAAATTCGAGGATATCCCCAGAATCCGCACAATTGCGTCCGACTCTGTTGGGCCGTAAGTGCCCTTCTCTGCGGATCCCCTATATCCAACAAATTTCAATCTATACTAAAAGCCTCCAGCCGCGTCAAAGACAAAGTCGCCATTGTAACAGGTAACCCAGGACTACACAACCCTACCCAAACCAATTCCTTCCTGGGGAAAGGTGAGAATTAATGAGACGCAGGCGCCAACTCCCCCGCCGGCATCGGCCGCGCCAGCGCCCATCAATACGCCCACAACGGCGCAAAAGCCGTATACCTCTGCGACTTCACAGACACGCACTTGGCGACACACAAGCGCGAGATCGAGTCCCTGTACCCGGGCGTGGAGGTGCAGATCCGCAAGTTCGACGCGGCGGAGGAAGACGCCGTCAAGGCGGTCGTGGACGACGCGATCGCGAGGTATGGCCGGCTGGACATCTTCTTCGCGAATGCGGGGATCGTAGGGCAGAATAAGATTTTCACTGATGTCACGGGGGATGATTTTGCGAGGACGTTGAGGGTTAACACCATCGGGTGAGTATTTACTTATAATTGAGGAAGGGGGGGGGCGGGTGCTCATTCTGATGCTTGGTAGTGTGTTCCTGGCTGTCAAGTACGCCTCGCTAGGGATGAAGGTGACCTCCGCGGCGAAGCCGTACCCCTCCGGCTCAATCATCTGCACGGCGTCCGTTGCTGGGCTGCGCTCGAACGCCGGGTCGACCGATTACTCCGCCTCGAAGGCGGCGGTGGTGTCGATTGCCCAGACGTGTGCGTACCAGTTGGCTGGTACCGGCATCCGTGTGAATGCCATCTGCCCGGGTCTGATCGAGACGGGGATGACGCAGCAGGTGTTTGACGCGGCGCGCGCTCGCGGTACGGAACGCAAAGTCGGGCAGCTGAATCCATTGCAGCGGGGTGCGGTTGCGGATGAGGTCGCTCGCGTGGCTTTGTTCCTTGGCAGTGATGAGAGTAGCTACGTCAATGGGCAAGCGTGGGCTGTATGTGGCGGATTGAGTGCCGGTCACCCTTTCGTGCCGGGCAAGTTGGCCTAGTTTTTACTCGGTCTGTAAATTTCGGTACTTGAGACAATATAAGTGTTGGATTCAAAGCCAGGTACGAAGGAAACCGTAACCAACACCAGATGGTTGTCCAATTCAACTATGTTCCAGACTTCACAGCAGCTTTCAAAGCAGCCGTTGCAGCTATAGACAAAGGGAATATATGGATAGCAAGTGATCAAACTAGGGAGTGTGGGTTTCGGTCCGCTTGTGCGCGACGCTAGGATGGCTCGAATGTGCGGCTTGCAGGTAGACCAGAATTCGGGCATTGTCACCTGACGACAATGGGAGAAGAACTGAGAGGATATAAAACGATCAAACACCAGAGCCCAAAAATCTCGGTGTCGAGAATGGAGAAATTAAAGTAGCCCAAGGAAAACACCCCAACGGACAGAATACAGTGGAAACGAGAAAAGGAAGAAGGTCCGCCGAGAAATCCCAAGAAAGTATAAGAACACCTCCGTTCAGAAGAAGCAACTATGGGAATATCCAAGTAGAAAAAGAAAAATAAAAAAAAAGAAAAAGGACCAGGAAGATCGAAAGTCAGGGAGAGTGCCAAAAAAAACTTGGTCACAACACGCTCTAATTCTGAAACTGTGCAGGAACAGGATTCGTGTCAAAGTCGTCGAAAATGAAGCGTTGCATCATCTTGTCGATGGGAGCAATCACGCGAGCAGCCGGGGGCTTGACCGCATCAGATCTTCGCTGGCCTGTTTGGATAGAGTTCCTGACTCGGTGTGGTCATCAAGACCATCGGTCTCGTGGGCACGCTCGTCGTCATCCTCAACTATCCGGGTCGGGATCTCGCCAGGCCCATATTGTTGGCTCGACCTCTCCGGGAATGTCGAGCTGCTGATCATCGACATCGACGTACTTGAGCGGTTGTGGACCAGGTCTGGAGTGGGGGGAACACTGGAGATTCGATGATCTGGGTGCAGGGTGCTGTTGTCATCACCCAATTCACTTCCCTCGCGGGTCGAACGTCCATCGTGGCCGTCGAAGTCTGGCGCCAGGCGATTGCCGTCCGGCGTGCGCTTACCCGACTCGTCTGCGTCGTCGTCCTCTTCGGCATCTTGAGCCAGATGCAAGCCCTCGACAGCGGCAGCGCATTGCTCGCTGATGCTGCGGATGATGTCCGAAATGGCATCGGTCTTGTCGCGCAGGTAGCGATCCGCCACATCGGTGATGCTGAGGCGGGCAAGACGCTTGTGCTCCTTGCCCAGATTCAGAAGATGCTGTTCCAACTCCGGGCTCATGTTGGGAGCAAGGCTTTTGGCCTTTTGCGCACGCTCCTTGGTCTCCTCTGGTGCGGCCTTCTCCTCGATCTCTTTGCTTTCTTCGGCCTGCTCCACCAACTCAGAAAGCTCAGCGGAGCTACCGATCGAGCGAACAATGTGCTCCATATGATGCGTTTGACCGTTGATGAGACTGCGGAGGTGCAGAACCACCCTTTGGGCCTCGTCACGTTGCCTGGCGAGAGAAGCGGTGGTGTGCTGCAAGGAGGCAAGCTCCTTCTGATTGCGCTTTCTCTCACGCTCAAGTTCCTCGGCGATCTCCTGTTGCAGAACCAGCGCCTCCAGGGCATCATCCCGCTGCTTCTCGGTGCCGGATAAACGGAGAGTGAGACGCGCCACGTCGTCCTTTTGTTGGTCAATGAGGCCAGTGAGGCGGCGGTTCTCACGCTTGTGGTTCTCAATCTTGACTTTGAGCTCAGTGGTCTCCTTGGTGAGCTGCTCTGCGAAGGCCTGGAACTTGAGGAACTGCATCATGTCAGTATCATCGAATAAATTGTCAGATCACGAAGACGAACCTGTTGCTTCCAGGTCTCCAATTCCTCGACCAAGAAGTTGTTGCGCTTGGTGACTTTGCTCAACTCGGTGTCCATGCGGCCCTTCAGGTTGATAAAGTCCTGCCAAGCCTCCATAGCATCGCGAGAGTACTGGTTGCGCTCACGGACAATTTCATTGAGGTGGCGCATAGATACCTTGGTCATCAGAGGCTTCTTGACAGAACCACCAAAGATGGCCTTCATGCCAGTGTTGCGACCCTGAAGTTTCGCACAGTTAGCTTCATACGGTTCGACTGAAAACCTCGGATTAAATCTTACCAATTTCTCGCAGACGTGATCCATGACGCTCATGACCGCATCCTGGTTCCACCACGAAGGCTCTTGTACACTTTCGACCTCGCCTCTCATGACGATGATTGAACCGGCGGGAATGAGCTTGCCACCCGCATAGGCGGATCGCAGGTGGTTGGGCACACCGGAAGGAGAGACATCACCGTTTAGGGCCTGCGTCAGCCGGTTGATAAATTTCGTCCGCTGACCAGGAGTGAGAATATTCGGAGGACTGGAAGTGAGCACAAAGTTGCGATCCAGGTCCACAACCAAGGCATCCGAGGGAGCGTTGAACAGCGTTCGGCATTCGGCGGTGACACCCAGAATATAGGGACCGGGCTCTTGGACAAGATCCTTGATGTGACGGGCATGAACGACTGGAACATACAGGCCGCTCCATTCGTAGACTCGAACGCAGTACCGAACGGTTTCGGCGGCGATAGTCAGCATAGCCGGGTAGTGACTGACAAAGATGATCCGGCGAGTCGGCGACACTGCGGCCTCGACGACACCCACAATGTTGGGGATGGACAGGCAGGTGAACAAGGGCCACATAGAAAAGTTCTGGAAACCGGTGGGCGATGAAGGGAACTGATAGCACAAGGCATAGTCCTTCATGTCGATCCGAACAAGATCATTCAGGCGTGGAGCAGGGAAGCTCAGAATTCGCGAGACCTCCTCAGCGTGGAAAAGATTGGTGGCCTTGTTCCAATGAATCCACATGCCACGCAGGTAATCGCCTAGCAGATCGTAGAGAGGATAGCGGGAAAGGAAACTGAGACAGTAAGGGATCCAGTAGGTCTCGTCGGGGTTGTCGTAGAAATCGGCTTCTGTCTTCTTGCGCAGCTCCCGAATTGTTTCGGCGCGCTTCTCATCGGCTCGAGACCAGACACGCAAGGCAATACCGTAGAGGGTATGTGATGAATCTTGCTGCAGGACAAAGGCATGGTGAACGCAGTGAGGCTGGCTCTTACCAGTGCAAATTTCTACATCATGAGGAAAGCAGGCCTGTTGCTGTCAGCTTCCAGTCCCTTGCATGGTCCGCTTCATTTTTTTTTTTGAAGCTTGGCAGATTCTGGACTATTTCTTACCCTCATTGCCGAATGTAAGGCTCTAGCAATTTCATTGTCCTGCTCCAATCTAGGGCTGCTTCCCAGGATTTCTGGTAACCAAAATTGTCCCACCGCACCTTTCATGTGGCCGATCTTTCCCTGCTCTGGAGCGGGAGCTTTCACCCATTGCGAGGGCTCGCGACCCACACCGCACACCATGTAGGCATGGGTGAGAGTTTTGGGAGTGCGCTGCGTGGGTTTTGCGTTCATTTGCGAGGGGATTGGTTGGGTAATGCGGGAATGAAGTGAGGAGGTGCGACTAGGAACGACCAGCGAATTCTCTCCTTGGTCACGAGTAACCGGCCGATCGCGAGTAGATGGACGGGCTAAGGACGAGTGATCTTTCAAAGATGGGCCCATAATGAAGACTGAATGGTATTGCGAATTTGAAATTATTTGGCAACTGTTGATATATACGGGATCGGATACCCTCTTCGGTTCTTTTCCGGGGGGAGGGGGAAGCTTGCGACCCTTTCGGATGAATGAAGTGGCGGCGATAGAATTGAACGATAGAGATATAAAAAGAGGTTATAAAAGGTTGGTATATGAGATTTTTGAGCGAAAAGCTTAAGATTGCAGCGCTTCTGGAGGCTGATCAAGAACAAGCAAAAGAAAGACGAAAGGTTGAATAAGGAGGTTTGTAGCAGCCGAACCAAAGGAGTGAGAGCTGGGCCAAACAGCTGATATGGAAGGAGAGGCTTCTACTGCTCACAAGTCGAATTGATGAGCATTTCCCAAACCATTCAACACGCCTCGCAAGGAAGAGACAAGACGTGTGGGAAGAGAACAGGAAGCTCTCTTCTTCAGCTGTAGGGGAACCGGCGATGGGAGGGAGGGGAAGTTGACGATGCGGAAGAGTGAGGGACGGGGGAGGGAGAAGGAGAGGACGACAGAAAAGACGGAATAGAGCTAAGAAAGGAACGGGAGGAGAAAGGGAAATGGCTCAGGGAGTCAGGGGAGAGAAGTCCGTACAAGGGGCGGTTCGGATGAATATTACAGGTTAAGACTAAAGAAGGTAGATAGTACTACTACTAGCTGTACTCTGTAGCACGGAGAAGTAGTCTACTGTAGGTGCTAGTCCAAGGTGGTCTAGTTTATTTACTGAAATATCACACAGATACTGAGATAATACTCACAAATACAATAATAATAATAATAGGTAGAATTATTATAGGTGAAGGCCGAAGCACGCTTTGATAGCGTTGATTGCGGAGTCGTTTGCTGTCTGTTCCTGCGCCAGTGGGTTGGGCTAGTCAGGGACCGACGACAACGAAGAAGAAAAGAAAGGACGGAGTACAGGGGAAGACGGTCAAAGATTAGAAGCAAGACTGGCAATGCTGCAGATGCTGGTAGATTCGATTCAACCCTAGATAGATAATGATAGAGGCTCATAGTCGGACAGGAGTAGAGCCTCCGCTGATTTCAGTGCATCAATTATTGAGTTTGTACACTGTGAGACGGAGTTACTACCCATCTATCCTGATTTCAACTCGACAAATTACTCGGAGTACGGAGTATTAGACTAATTAACCCAAATTCAATTTTCTAGAGCTATGCGGGGGCCTCCTTTATTTCCCACGCGAGGATGGATCTTGGATTCTCTCTCGGTCTTGTTCCACGGGTCCAAAATACCAAAATTCGTTGCAGAGTCTAGGTTACTTATACTCCGTATTGGGAGTAGAAACAAGGCAGATAATAGTAGAAGAATCTTGGTCTGATCCTGAACAATCAAAGAACAAGAAGCATGAACTTGACTTGACCCAACCATGCTTCATTGCTCCAAGGGAAAAGTTCGCTGCATTTCTCCGCGCCGACCGAGGACAGTTGGTCTCCATTTCCTATAAAAAATCAAACTCGAGCGTAGACTACAAGAGAACCGATCCCTCTTAAATATGGGACAGCGTCAAAAAGAGACTCCACAAAAGGAATCTAAACCTGAATTTTGAGCTCAATTTGACGCTTGACACTTGACAGTTGACAGACAAGCCATGCTTTTTCCAGGCCGGTTACCAAGATAAATTCGTCAGGGGTTCTGAGACAAGTCCATGCAATAACCAACGGCTAATATGACCATGTGCAAGCCATCTTTTGGCATGTAGGCTATCTCAAACAATCAGCCGTTGTCCCTTTGTCTGTATCATATTCCAGCAATACTGTCTGACTATTGTCCAAGAATCTGTTTGATGTCTCAGACTTAAGGACTCGAGAGAGGAGAGACAGTGAGCGCCCCCCAAGTATCTACTGGCAGCGAAGTCCGTAGCATTATGATATGATGGTAAGGGGTAGTAGGACTCCTCATTGCTAACCAGACTGTCATCCTGTCAGTCCATATTACAACTCGAACTCATCTCGCTGAGATTCACATAGTACTGACTTTTGTGCTCAATCCCCCATCTCGATGATTATAATTAAAACAAAGTTCATCTGTCCGGATTGCCTCGAGATGCTTGCAGATTGTTGCCTATCATGGATAACATCCTTGACTCTGCTGATCTGCTATCCTGCTACTCCGTACTTCTTTGTACTCCGTAGATTCCGAGTTCTTGCAGTAGTCAAAGTCTCTTTGGTTGGGGTCTTTACTCCCGCTGCTAAGGTAGGCATGATTATTTTTGATGCAGCAAGCCAGATACATTCAGGCGTCGATCTCATCTCCTCCCTTCAGTTGTCGATGGTAACCATTATTCGCACTCACGGATAGCGATCGAGAACATCAGCAACCGTTGTACGGAGTATCGAGCAATCAACCATAGGGACCAATTACTGTATCTACACCGATCAGTCCAGTGGAAATTCATGAATGCGCCCACGGTTCGTCAGCACGGGAACGATCCAGGCCAACGCCTTAGTTCTCAGGTACCAATCACCAGCTCGGTTCCCCGAGGCTTGAAGGCTGAAGTTGAGTCGTGACAGTCTGGACTCTGGGAAGTATCACTAGATTGATATTTTCTCTCTCACTAAAGCTATACTTCTACTAAGTTTATCCAAATGCAAGTCGCGACCCGATACTTTGAGCAAAATGACTGTGCGCATTGATCCAATTTGTTTGGACTGCATGTCTCTCCCCCGACACCGCAACATATATATGCCCCAGACAGGGCCCAGGGCCACCACAATCAGACTGTGAGCACCGGATATCTATCTACGTATGCTGTAGATAGTTAGAGTGTAACCATTCCTCTCCCGTAACCGGATTAATATTCGAGCAATATAAGCCAAACCACCCCGCTAGGTGTCCGTTCCCAGACTCATACGTAGTCCTATCGATGATACGGAGTAACTCGTGTATGTCCGAGTCCTCGTCAACCACTCAGATACTCAAGTGAACAGTAATACTTGATTCTTTTTGACCTTCTGTCATACCCCATGCATGCATAGCATGGTCATAAAGAGCTCGCCGTCGAAAATAACTAGACACCTCCCAGGTTCACTACAAAATCGTTCTTCTAGCTATCCACACTCGACCGCCGATCCATGATTGTACCCACCAAGCGAGTGTTTCACCATCCCAGCTGCGGATCCACTCCTCCACCTGCTCATTACTCTGTGCCACTAGTACTACTGAATCTCGGTGCTCAGCAGGGACGGTCCGGCAACTTCGGGAGACGAAATTTGGGAGCTTGGGGGATTGGGATTCTCTTTTGATTTTGTTGATGGAATCCTGGACGGAATGGCTTGTTTTCGACTCTACACGCCCCGAGAGTTGCTCCCTCTGGAGCGAGTAGCCGGTTGTTATGGATGATGGGTTCAGCAAGGCGTTATGAATGAGGTGTTTGAGTGTAGCACAGCATCGGAGTTATGGCCCTTCATGCTCCCTGAACGATCTAATGCCTCTCGGCGAAGCAGATTCTTTGGGTTTGACAAACTCGAACGAGTCAATTACACATCAAGCATCGACGGCTCTCATCACTGTCAAATAATGAAAATCTATAGTCATGCTATCAAGTTACATGCCTCATTGGAAGACATAAACCATTCCCGCCCGGTCCACGCTGATGATCATCCCATATGGCACTCTTAACACCGCTACATCCTGGATGAAATCCAGATGACTCTTCAGCAATTGCTGCTGCTGCAAACTGATCACCGTACTGCGTGGCAGCCTGGCACCGCCCCCTTTCTTGCTGCTGCCCTTGCTCCCCGTACTGTTAACCACTGGAGGGCCGGGAATGTGTTCAGTAGTCACTAGAAGATTCGGGAGTGGTTGAGATAGCTCGTAGCGTGGCTTGCCGCTCATCCCCCCGTCCGACACAATGTCCTGGCCGCTGACAATACTAGACAGCTCAGGCCGAGCTAGGTCCCAGAAGCGGATCTTCCGGTCGCAACCCGCCGACACGATAAATCCGCATCTGGTGCTGTTATCCTTGCCATCCTCCGGCGAGTCATAGCCAACGGCAAAGGCGCAGATACCGGCAGGAGTGCTGGCCGCCGATGGTCCCGAGGAATCAATGGCCCCCGACAATGGCCCCTCCGTGCCGAACCGACTGAGCATTCCTTCCGGCCGGTCGCTCTCGACGTGCCAGGCCTCATAGTCTCTCGTGTTGGCAAAGGCTAGTTTCGCCTTGGCGTTATCAACTGGAGAGGCGGTACTACCTCCATTGGGAACTGCGTTGCTGGCGCCGGGTGAGTCGGCATGGTATACCTCGCGACAGCGAACCTTTTCAATATCCCAGACTGTAATCTCGTTGCCGTGACTCCCACTGCTCGAGACGCAAACCCACCGCCCACGCCCCTTTGTCGGATGTACCTGGAGCCTGAGGATAGCACCCGATCCTGGGAGGCCCCAGGCCTTCAGACGCACCCGAAACCGGAGGTCCCAGAGATCAAGGACTCCATGCGTGGTCCCTACTAGCAGCCAGTTATGCTTTCGGTCACAGCAAAACGTTGTCGGTGTTCCGTGATGGACAGGGTTCTGCAAAGAATAGACGGGAAGCATAGTCTTCATATCCAGAGCTAGGATGCGGCAGGTGTTGGTCGCAATCAACAGCGTGGATTGTGCATCAGAGCGGAAATGTTCCATCCAGATCGCGTACTCGACAGACCCATCGTCAGCTACCGGCAGTTGGTACTCACGTACGAGCTGGAGCTTCCCGTATCGGACCGTCTCATTGACATTATGGTAATCAACCTTCACGACATGGATGCTCCCATCAGTGGCACCGCTAATGAATGCATGAGTGTTCTCCACAAAAGTCAGCGTCTTCACCTTGGACTCGTTAGAGTGACGATACGTTTGTCGGGACCTGGGCGTCAAGTTCTTCTCGAGTCGCGTGGTATCCCAGACCTTGACGGTCCCATCATCCGATGCAGTGATGAAAAAGGCGTGATCTGGAGCTACCACCACCCGATTCACCGGTCCGCTATGCTCGCCAAAGAGTGCGACAAGACTCCCTTCCGGCTTCCAGACTTTGTTCTCGTCGTGGCCGCTGGCCTTCTTAATTGGGCGGCGAGGGTCTGCCTCCTTGACAAAAGGACCAAGATCGAAAAGGTCGGTGGGATAATTCTCTGCGAAAACGGTGTCCAGCAGCCTGAGAATTACCGGGTCGTTGCCTGCGTAGGAATGGTTGGCACGGTAGTGCTGCGGTTCGTTGGCCCGAGCTTTCTTTTCGTGCGCCAGAGTCAATGCTGACGGCTGCGGTGCCTGACGCTGGGAGGGTACATCGACTTTGCCGAATGCATTTGCCGAACTCATACTGGTCTCCGCATACGCTTTTGATGATTCTTTGCGATTGAGGAGACTGATCGCGCTTGGCTTTCTCTCCACGTGGGTTGTGAGATGATTGTTTTTGACAGCCGGACTTCCCGCTTCTGTTGGAGTCGACGGGCTGTCCTGCCCCGGACTCTGTCTGCCCACGCTGCCTCTCCGTTCTGCATAGGAGTTGAGAGGGGATAAGGGCCGGGATTCTGGTGCAGCACTTGGCGATGATGTCACCGGGGAGAGCCCAGGGGCATTCTCTGCACGAATATTGTCACTTGCCTCCTGTCTTCGGGTAACAGTAGCGTTCCCAATATCTCTTTGTAGCTGGCTGTGCGTCCTCAAATGTCTCCGACGAGCGTGAGATGCGCTATCGATCGTAGTCGATGCATCCAACAGGGCATCGGTGATAGTGTGCGGCTTGCGTTCTCCCAATCCAGCATCGTCAGCTCTGGGCAAGGGAGCACCGTGGGGCTTGACGTTCTGTTGCTTATCAAAAAAAACGGTCTGAGGTGTCACCTCGTATCGGGTCAGGGCTATTACGTTGTTCAATGAGGATGCCCCATTGCCAGACTCCCTCATCTGACGCAAAGACACACCCCAAATGTAGCCTCTGAGAGCGAGCAACTTGAATTCGTCATCCGGACCGAGTCCTATATTCCTTAACCTAGATAGCCACTGCTCATCCTCCTCGTTTCTGAGTTGCGCGTTGTGTGAGAAGCTCGGGGTCTTTTGGCCTCCCTTAGGAAGAGAATGGTCAGCGCCTCCTACACTGAACACTTCATCTCGAGCTGTCGACTTCCAGAACAGACCCTTCTCGGCTTTAGAAGCCCAAAGGAAGGCCAGGTCGTATACACTCCTTGGTAGTGGTTTTTTGAGAGCATCAAGCAGTTTCTCTTCGGAGAAATCCACAATGTTGACTCTGAGGAATGCTTGGACGAGAGGGCCCAGGATTGAGTACTTGTCGGCAACCGACAGATACTTTGCACTATTGATGATGAAGCAAACGGCTGCTTCACGAATCCACGTGTTTGGATGCACCAAGAAACGCACAACGATCTGGAGGACCTCCCAAGTAGTTGATCGCTGGAAAAGACCAAGGTCAGCCATCGCAGCCAGCGATCGAAGCACTCTCTCAACAACGAATTCCTCGGGCTCAGTCATAGATTGAATCATCAAAGGCAATATGTACTGCTCCAAACTCGTACTTCCAACGTAAGCCGCGACTCCAACGACTGCTTCAAAGAACGCACATTTCAAGATCCAATCCCGATCGTTCAAATAAGTGTTCAGATGGCTCAAGATCACCTCGTTCGTCTTAAGGTTGCCGAAGAACACACACAGACTGGGCACTGAGCCTAAGAATGCACGGCGGACAGATGCATCAGTGTCGGTAAGAAGAGCTTTGGTATGATTCTCAAAATATTCGAGAAGGTCTACCCTCGCAACGTCATAGAGATTGTGAAAGGTAGCATCCTCGGTCCATCTTGGCTCAGACCCGGCCGGTACGAGGGCGGAAAGCCGAGTATCAGAGCGTAAAGCCTGGATCATATCTAAGAACCTCAGAGAAGATTGCGCTAGTGAAGAGATGCAGGACGCATACGCAGCGCGCACCATCGGACTTGGATTGGAGCTGGAGCTGGAGACGAACGGTTGCAGCCGAGGGAAGATGTATTCTGGGAAGAGATACGCGTTCACCGGTGAAACGACCTGCACCATCTCTAGTAGCTGCGCAAGAGCACGAATGGCAGCAACTTTCACAGTATCCGTGCGGTCGTTCAGAAGGATCATAATATAAGGCAAAATACGATCCAGCTTCGCCTCGTCCGACAGTCTCTCAGCAAAAGCAAGCAGGATATCGCAAGCTTTGATTCGGGCAGTCGCCCTCGCGGTGTTGCGCAGACTAGACACAACAAGCGTTAAGAATATCAGGACGCCATCGTCAGTTCGGGCCTGAGACTTGGCAGCCTGTGGGCCGTAGCTCGGGAGATCAAGGTGGATGGGGAACGCGTTCCCAGTAAGCCTGGAGGTACTGCGACTGGAGCCATCTTTCACAGGCTTGGAAGATGCACCCAGGAAGTAAGAGATTTTATCAAAGTCGTAGTAAACCCTCTCAATCCTGTCATCTGACTCGCCCCTGTTCGCTGATTCTGCTTCCACTTGCGCCCTGCCCGACGAAGGATCGGTCATCAAAGACATGTACTGATGAAGAAAGCTGTAGAAATACTCCGGAAAAGCTTTATTCTTCCAAAAGTTCAGGTATTCTTCAGCAGAATATCTCGACTCTGGCTCAAGCTGAATCATGTGGAGGATCATCTCTCGGATCTCCAAATCCTCGATTTTGACCAACTGGCTATGTTGCGGACTGTATTCTCCTTTGCGGTATTTGTACATCTGGCTTAGGGTGAAGATGGGCGCTTCTAGAAACAGCTCTGCAATCACGCAGCCAGCACTGAATATGTCCATGGCCCAATTGAGACGCCTGTTCCCTGGCTCCTCACCGGTCTCGAGGAACCGCTCAGGAGCCAGATAGCACGTTCGTCGCCCTGAAGTGTCAAAATAGAAAGAAAAGTCTGCAGGATTGTCCTCCGGCAAAAATGTGGGCTTGAAAGACGAGGAGAAGTCTGTGAGGTACAGCCAATTCCATGAGGTCACCAAGACGTTTTCTGTCTTAATGTCGCCATGGAAAACATCCAATGAGTGACAATCCCGAAGAGCACACAAAAGTTGAAATGCAATCCATTTCTTCTCGATTTCTTCTGGAAATGGTCGAGTGCTACCGAGGTCAGAAAATTCCCGGTTGATAACATGTCCGAAGCATACCTCATCCGGTCATATAGAGAGCTGTGAATGTATTGGCGAACAAGGTAACCCCCGGTGCCGGTCTCCAGAATTCTTTGATGGCTCAAGGCATTTGGGACATCAGAAAGTAGTTTGCGCTCCCCTAGCACGGTCTCAGAGTTGTATCCAGGAATGTTGTACGGCAAAAGCAAACTCACGAATGATGGCTTTGACGTAGGATTCTAGCTTCATGCTGGGGTAAGGCTTCATGATTACCTTTACAAGAACGAGGCCATTTTGCTGTCTCGCTCGAATACTTTTCATGAACCGCCCACCACCCATAGACTTCTCATACAGCAGATCTGATAGCTCGGGGATATCTATCCCAGCCGAACCCGTGGAAAGGGTTGTGAGGGAGTAGCCTTGCCCCATAGTGTCGCGACGACCTCATCTCAAGAGCTAACGAGAATCACAAATTTCATCCACTAAGAGTAGATAGAGCTTCAAGAAAACTCTGAGGCACAAGCCTACAATGTTGATAGAGTTGATATAGATATTGAAACGATCCGTACGCGGACTCTCTGAATAGATGCCCACTGACCATCACGTACTGTCATTAGAGTCGGGTGATGGCGATGACAGTGGTCACATGACTTGAAGGCGGTGTAGCTACAACATCGCTCATCGTGCCGAATTGGGCCAAGACTTCCCCATTAATTGCTTGTTTTCTTTGGATATGGTCATCAATCTCAAACAATCTACCTCAGTTCTTGGAGATTCGTTCTTGCGTCGTCGAATGATGTTCCTAGAGGTTATCAGCAAATTACATCTGAATCTTCGCATCTTGAGGTCTGAGTAGCCTGGGCCCTTTCAATGGTTTAACTGTTTTAAGATCCTCAGTGGTCTAACGTCTAGCATTAGGCTAGCACCACAACAAGTTAACTACAGTACGGAGTAGATTGCACCAACCAGTCTTTGAGTCCAATCAAACAGTCTCGTCAGAGAGACAGCTGGGCCGTCCTTCTCCCTGAGTTTCCCACCCTCTCGACAAATTGTGAACGACTTAGAATGAATTTCTGCAATTCGGCTCCTGAATTATGGGTCAGGATACGTGAGCCCCGCATCATACTTCACCTGGTGCAGACTATATGAAGGCCAGTGCCGGTATCAAGGGCTTGACCTGAATTTCTTTCACCGACACAATTGAACGACTGACTTACCGATCGTCGGTGACATAACGTCATTCGTGGCTATTGTTGGACGCTTCGATCGCGTCTCAATTGTTTGGGGAGGGCAAAGTAGCTGGTAGTTGTGAGTCTTAAAAACATTTGCGAAGCAGACTGAACGATCACTTCCAACCAGCGCCATTAGAATGGATTCGCCGGCAGCATCTGTCTTACCGACTAGTGACGAATATCCAGAGATTCCTATTATCGATGATAATGAGAGTCTTGCCGAAGTGATTCGGAAATTAGCGAAGTAAGTTCAGCATGCATTTGCCCAACCTGTATGGGCGGGTCTGATTTGACATATCACCAGTTACCTCAATGTAGCTGTACCTGATGTGGCGTGTACATTTGAGCAACTGAGATCTTCTCCCTATGGACACAAGCTCCGACTCCTCATAGGCTCTCTGGCAGAAAATTCACACAATCCTTGGATTATCTCTGCTTTGATGTAAGTTGAGAACCAGCTTTATTCTGCGAAAGAACAACTCCTGAGGATCGACGGATTAGGATCTTGAAATGGCAGCTTAACAACGAAGACAACGACTCCGATTGGGGCTTGAACGGAAGTCGGGGTTATGCGTGTGAATACATCGCCTGGCAGTTTCTTTGTCACCTCACACAACGAGAGATGATAGATGTACTGCTTGAGGAGCTTCCCTCTCCCAGACGGGATTCTACAACGATCTCTCAAGCCGAGCAAGGTGCGACTGGACTTGGTTCATTCTCCCGTGAAGACGAAGGCAACGAAACAGAAGGTGAAAGGACTCCACTACTGTTGAGCTCCTCATCGTCCCTCTACCAATTCTTTGTCGGCAAAAGCCACCGAGGTGGCTCCTACGCTGGGGACAATCGGGGATCTCGGGGGTCGTACTATGATGATCCCGAACTTCAGTCCTTCTCACCTTTTTTTGGTCTCAACGCTCTGGAAATTGCAACAATCGCCCATGCTAAAAAGTTTCTCAGCCAGAAGGCCGTTCAAAGGGTGATCGACAATATCTGGAACGGGGAGATTGTGTTCTGGGACTCATTGAGTGTACATTCTAAGAAGAAGCCTCAGTTTTTCAACAAAAGGTAAGATAGCATCTTCCGAGCACTTACTATGTACTAATTTTTTCGTGTTCCACGCTACAGGACTGCAGATCCATACTCAAGATTAAGGGTTCCGATGTATCGAAAAGCGTTTGAAGCGGCTTTTTTTGTTTCTTTCTTGTTCCTATACTACGCAGTCCTTGTCGAAAGAAAACCTACCGGCATAGGCATTTTCGAGACGTTGATGTACGTCTGGATAGCTGCCTTTGCTTATGATGAGCTGAGTGGCATGGTCGATGCGGGGATGCTCTTCTATCAAATGGATTTTTGGAGCCTGTGGAACATGGGTATCATTGCCATTGGGCTTGCCTTCGTTATCGCGCGTGAGTCATTCGCTCCCGGTACAATACCTCCGCCGGTAGCTCGTTGGCGAAAGGCGATAAGTATGCATCGTTCAGGTTTTCTTACTGGCTTGGGTTCGCAGGTATCGTTGGCCTGGCCAAAGAGAGCGATTATATCACGGACTTATCATTCGACATACTGTCATTGGAGGCTTTGTTTTTGGTTCCAAGGCAAGGCTTCAGCTACCACTGACGATCGACTGACGCTTCGGCTCACAACGTTGACTGACACAAGCAATTGACAGGATTTGCTCACTAGTGAGCTTAAACCCATACTTTGGCAGCCTGGTACTTGGACTACCTTCTTCATGCTGGGGAACCACCTTCTGGAATACATACTGACAAGCTTCTGCGCATAGATACCTGTTTTGAAGGAGATGGTACCGCTCTCAGTGTCTCGGAGTGCGCCAAATTAGTGTAAGGCTGATTGATATGTTCTAGACCAAAGCCTTTTTCAGGTTCCTTCCTGTGGTCGTCGTTTTGTACATTGGTGAGTAGCTGAAGGGCTCAGGTCATGTCGAATCATGCCTCATGCGAGCTGAACTTCCTGACAGGGTTCCTGACGACATTCACTATGCTTGCCCGCGACCGACTGTCTCTGCGGCAAATGTCATGGATTCTTGTCAAAGTATTCTTTGGGTATGGCGGTGAAGATTATCCATTTTCCACCGCTTTTTTGACTGACAATGCGAGGCAGATCGAGTGTCTTAGGATTTGTACGCTTCTTCCTGGTTGTTTTGTAGTAGAAAAGCGTTCTTGACTGACGGTGGCTTGATCGATTGGCTATCAGGACATCGCATATGATGTAAGTCTGTTGCACTCGACGGGTTTGGCAGAATCGGTTGGCTCTTGTGTTAAGATAGCTAACGCGCTAATTTTTTAGATCTCCCCCATCTTTGGCTATAGTTTGATGTGAGTTTGATATACATACCTCTTCTCCTACTGCGCCACAGGAACCATTTTGAAAAGTCGACCGCATACAGTTTCGATCACGTTCAATCTTGAAGTGGCTGTGAAACTCGTCTTTCTTTTCTATTTCTTCTTCTTTTTCTTTTTCTTTTTTTTTTATTTGCTTGTTGTCTTCATTTTTCAATTTTTATTGTTTCTTTCCGGGTTGTTGCTGGGGGGTGTCTGGGTTTGGCGCAGTTAGACGCCCGCCACCAGTCACCCCTCAAAAAAGCCGCTTGACAATTGGATATGCATGCAGCTTTCTGAAGAAACTTAGAAAATGGACCGAGAAGGAAGAATGGCGAAGAAATCAAGACGAAGAGATAACTAATGAGCACGCTCCATAGGCTCCTATTTGTGTCCATGACAAATTTGTTATTGATCTCCTCTTTGGTTAGCTTGATGAGCATGAGTCTAGAAGGGGTGCGTTCATTTCAACTTTCTTTGAAACTCATCTTCAGATTGCTAAATCAACCTGCATATAGGTCATGGCTCATGCACGAGAAGAGTATCTTTTCCAGTTAGTAGCACCCCTGTCGCGCTTACTGATTCGATCTCCCACAGTTATTAATGCGTTGCCAATAGGTTATCCATTTATGTCCTAGAAAGCAGCAACTCTAGGCGATTAACTTATTTTATGCCACCATTGGTAAGTCCTATTGTGGCTAACCTGTGCCCAATAAAAACCAGTTGGCTATTAGCTTCCCGACTTTGACTTGGTTACTCACATAAGACTTAATACCAATGCTAAACGACACAGAACCTCATCCCACTTCTCTGCATTCGGCCCCTAAGGCTGTTTCTGTCCGCAGGGCATATCCGTCGAGTTCGCATAGTGCTGCTCCGGGCAACCCACCTTCCTTTTGTGGCCTTGATCTGGGCTTTTGAGTCTAGCCGCCGCTATGTTTCGCGGCGAAACAACCAATTCCCGCCTACTCGAGCGACTGGACAGCCTACCTCTTCCATGCAGGCTAACTTTCCATTCTCCACGCACCACGCTCCGCTCCATGCCTCCGCAGTCGATACGCCGCAGCTGGGTTGTGGAAAATCCAAGGGACCAACTAACGCGGGTCAGCATGCCGAAGCCCGCGGAGTGCGTGCACTGACTCCAGGTCAGGCCGGGCATATTGACTTGGCGGATATGATCGACGAGCTGGAACGGTTGCGCACCCAAGTGGAGCGCGTGGCAGCTACAGTAGCTTTTCACCAACGGAATCGAATGTGAGGCCGTGACACAGTAATTAGATAAAGGAGAAAATTAGAGCATGTTAGATATTCTGAGGCTAGTTACTCCGTAGACTAGTTCCAGACTTCCAGTTGAACAGACCACGACCTAAAATAATAGACATACGCACTGACTGGGTGGCTGGGGCCATAGTCTAAAAGACTAGCGCGAGCACCGGCCACTGACAAGTCTGACTACTAACGATGGGTTCAAGATGTGGCCTTCAGATGTCATTATTATTGCTTAGTTGCCCTGGTATATGTGAACACCTTAGTGTCTGTGGACGCATAGAAAACCAGTAACTATGCGTGAATTATGAAATAACCTGTAACTGGCGGCCCCTTAGTCTATTCTTATCCCCTTTCAGACTAAGGTATCCTTCGTTCGAAATTCCTTCTTTAACCCTAAAGGGTATGCCTGGGTCATTCCCGTGTTGAAGATTCTCATGATCTCCCTTGGCATTGCAAGTTTATCTATCCTTACTCTGTGAGATGAAGAGCGAAGTCGTAAGATCAGACTCGACCAAGGAAGACATTGGCCCATGGAGAGTTAATCACAGACTGAGTCATTTTTGTTGAGGTAGTGCGAAGGTCATCATCATCAAACCAACAGTTACGTCTGTAGCATCTAGATAAGGTATAGAGCCACTATTGGTAAATGAAACATTTACCTGGCAGTCTGGTTGTGCAGAGACATTAGTAGACCTTCGTAGGCAATGCCCCTCTTTGCCCCTGTTCCTGGGATTAAGAGAGGGGCGCGGCTCGACCTGCTTCTTCGTCTTCCTCTTCCTCTCTTCTCTTCTCACCAACAACAACATCCTCTGCATCAACTCTGCAACCATCACCAACCGCTCAGCCATCTCTCATCATCACAACAATCCTGCAGGTCTCCCTCGTTTCTTCACACTCTGGCTTTCTTCAAGCCTGTTTCCAACTCTTGTTTTCTGGGATTCCACGGCTGTGCCAATCACACCAGGCGACACGCACTGCTCGTTTGCCAAGCAAGGTACCAGACTGTCGGGTCGCAACTAAACCTCTTTGATGCTCGTGTCGCAGCAGGAAAAGACGAAAATGAGTGAGCAGGCGGCGATGATCGGGGAACGGGGTGGCAGTGGCATTTCCCTTCCCCCCCAAAAAACAAGGAGGACGCGGATATTCCAGTCGCAGAATGTGAAGAGAGAACGCTGAAGCACTTATCATTCTACCCATCCCATCCCACCAACTGGTCTTCCTTCACTCTTATGCAACCCCCGGTCCGGTGGGCTGCTAAGGGAGGTATTTTCCCTCTCTCATCACCAATCCATTTCTCTGCCCCCCTCGTTCTATTGTTTTTATTATTATTACTTGTTTTCCTCTCTCAATTATTCCTTTTCAGACCCTGTTGGAGCACACTACCAGACAGCAGGCCCCAGTGGGCTGCCTGTTTCTCCACCCTTTTCTCTTCGAGACCCCCTCAAAACCCCAGGAACATGGATCAAAAATTAATAATTTGACAACTCGGGCTGATCACACCTTTTGGGCGCTAAGTCATTGTGCACAAGTTCCCATTGTTGCGCCTATCTGGATGTTGCAGACATGGCCTGCAATAATCAGTCCAGCCCGGCCCTGTCCAGCTAGATTTCCCACAACCCCCTTCACAGTCTCTTTCCCTCCTCCACCGCATTCTCCCTTCTCTGCTCTTCCAAGTCTGCCTTGCCCACTCAGGCGTCAAGGTAATTGCTCTCCTTGTGTCTACTGCGCCGATGCGGCGGGAACTATACACTGGTGAGCGTCATATGGCTGATTCTCCTGTGGTCTTCTCAGCCGCTACACATGTTCGCCGCAAATCTTACCTTGCAACAGCATTGCTGTTGAGTCAAAAAACTGCTTTATATAATTTAAATGCTTTCGTCTTGGTTCTTCGATAACGATACCTTTTTTCCATCCGCCTGAAGTCTCGACTGTGAGGTTGCAAAAAGATCCAACACAATTTACCTGGAGTTTGAAAAAGAACAAGTCAAACGATTTACAACTCCAGACGACACTTCTCTTTACGACTGTGACAGCACATCTTCTGGTCATGAATTGGACCTCCGAATCCTTCTCTTCCGCCTCAACCTATGTTCCCTCATCAGCTGATGACAACTCGATGATGATAGAGCCAACTCACGGCTACGCGATTGAGGCCTTCGATCATGCAGGCTATCCCAGCAGTTCACAGCCACCTACTGGACTTGGAATCTCTTACGTTGGTATGGAGACTCAATTCAGTCAGATGGGACTTTGCTCTGTTCCAGAAACACTGTCCCAACCGACAACCGACTGGCCTGATCAATTGATGCCGTCCGTATTCGAGCCCTGTCTGGAGATTGAGAATCTTCCCACTGGGGCATGCTACGAATCCTTCCCTGTTCACCATGATGTGTCCACCTCTCCCCTCAGCCTTTATAGTCCGCAAACATTAAGCGCATCGCCGAGTTACTGTTCGACCTTGGATATGGGAAATCAGGATACAACGTGCAGTCAGCCGTCTCATATGTGGCCGAGTACTCCTTGTTCGGACAACACCACTCCTTTCGAGGGATGGTCCCATGTGAAACAGGAGTATGACGACTGCCCGGATCCACTTCTCTACTCTGAACCGAGTGATGCGTCTGGAGTCTCTACGTCCACAACAATACCTCAGCTGATGGTCAACAACACCTTTGCAGTCACAGCATCTCCTGGAAAAGAGAGGGTTGAACCCGCTCTTAAGCCTGATCCTATATTAGAAGACTCCATGGGCCACGATCAGACAGCAACGATACCCCAGTTCGCCGCTCAAGCAGGTACGATGGCATCAAACCAGATTGGCTCATGCAAAGTGCCGTCTGCCAGCGGCCTCGTCTGTACCGTGTGTGGCGCCCGCTTCACTCGACGCTCAAATTGTCGGGAACATATGAAAAGACACGATCCCAACTGTAGAAAGGTCTACCCATGCGAGGCTTGCGGCAAGACTTTCGGGAGAAGGACCGACTTGAAGAGACACGTGGATAGTGTAAGTCGAGTCAACCAGTTCGCTATGTCAATTGCTAATAAACGGGAAAAAAGATTCACCATGGACTGCGAAAATTCGGTTGTGACCAGTGTGGCCGTCGTTTCAGTAGGCAAGATACTTTGTCAAGGCAAGTTCGCACGTTATGTCCCATCTTTAGCCCATCTCGGTTCTAACGCGGGTGCTTTTTACAGACATAGGACAGATGGCTGCCGGCAAAGGCCTCGAAGATCAAGTCCCAAGGAGGGCAAAGAACCTACCGGTTCCCCCGCCCAACTCATTTCCTCTGCCTCGCCAGACATACATTTCCAAAACAGCAAATGATTTTGGATCGGCACCTGTCAAACGATGGCTGATTTCGGAGCTCGATACGGCACACCTGAAGAGACCACGACCTGGCCACGCAATTTGTGTTGACCGCAAATTGCCGGTGGCCCACATACAACTTCTCAAAGTCTTCTTGCAAGGCTACCGCGAAGATTCACGATCGATACTGCATACATACTCAATAGAATAGCAAATACCCTGGAGCATTTGAGCATTTATGGGAGGCTGTCTTCTATACCATTTTCACTTCACGCAAGCGGCAACAGAAGGCAAACCAAAGATATATAGGCGTTCTTTTTCTTGTCCATACTGATTGATTTTGTTTCTTTGGTTGCATGAATCTCGTTGGCGAAGGGCAAAGCAGTCTTTTTGGCGACGTTGTCAGTAACCGCATAGCATAGCATGTAACGATAGAGAGTAGGCGTTGACCACTGCGAGGTCATGCTGAGCGTGATGATTCGCAGGAAACATTCATTTTTTTGATCCTGAGCATCAGTCCGAGACACAGCATCTGCTTATTCCATTCTTTTGACGTGAGAGAACCGAGTCACTGCAACTCAGGAGGTCGCCTGGACTTCGGACCACCATCTGGCAGGCTCAGAGCCAGTCAGCCATGACACAGAGGTCAAGAGGTTCGCTACCACGTAGCTCCACTTTTGACAAATTGCATGATCTCAAGGCTGCGAGTTAGTTCTTCAACGAAGTCGTGAAATTGTGGATGTCTGGAAGAACTGAACGTGATCCCCGGCGCCTTGAGACTTTTAGGCCCTGACAAGCGCGGGACCATCAGGAACTGGCTCCGCTCTGGGATCTGAAATCTGGATGAGGACTAAGGTACAATGAATGTACAAACAGTTCCCCGTCTGCTTCGTGAAAGCTGCAGCAAACTATCTCCTGGCTGCTGAAAGGAGTAAATACCGGTCTTGGCTCATTATTAGTGGTCAGTGAATCTACTCCGTACTTCCCATTTCGAATCAGATTCCCCCACTCCACACGGAGCCTCCTCGGACAAGCTGCTGAGATTGAGTGACTTTGAGCAATGGATTTGCTTCGGGATTCTGACTCATAGGGGGATGTTTGTCCCAAAGCAACGATTCAGCCGATCGATATATCAAGGCAACAGGGTTCGGCACAGTATAGGCTGAATACGCCGGGTCCATTTCCGTTCAATAAACCAAACCGCTTATGCTCGGTCAAGCATGCTTGTAGTTGATACTCCAATTGGCAGTGGTGTTATTGAAAAGTTCACCTACTCAAAGTCGGACCTTTTCCTCACTGGGCCGTCGGGGCACGGGAGCATCGGATCGCTAGTACTTTGTCGCCAACTCCGCATATGTTACAGTCAAGTGGGAGCTATCTCGTCCTTCGCTGCTGCCTGAGGCAGGCTGCACTATCCGACAACCGGATAAGAAGATAAGGATTGCTCGATCGAGCTTCGAGCCCCTGCTGCTCCCACAGGCAGCAACATCCTGCTATAAAACGAGTCACATCACTCCTTCATAATGTAGCATAGTGATCGCAGAATCATTTGATGGAAAGATATATCTGTAGATCGGGCAATGATTTCAGGGACGATTGATACATGAAGACACGTGTATTCTCCTATGACTTCTTGATAGCCGTGGATTAATAACACACGCCTCAGCTGTTACTTCGTTGTTTAGTATGAGCATGAGGACTCCGTACATTGACTCTTTCGAGTATTTGCTCGATCCATGCTAACTGTTCAGGGAGGCCATTGATACGACGACATTCATGGAGGGATTCTGTGCAGACTGCATAGCAGGTAGGGTATGACAGGATCCCTGCTTGACCAGGTGAGTAAGTGGTTTGTCGGATGAGAGTCTGCAGCAGGTGTAATTATATGGGCTGTCTTGGTCTGATTGACAGTCTTTTCATAATAGGAGGTGTTGTATCGGATCAGAGCCCCTGTGTTTTTAGGTTTGTGATTGCTTGCTGCATGTAGATATTTGATGAGACCTGGGCAGAAGAGTCTATAGCAGTTCTAAGAAGACTGACATAAGGGAGGATGTAGGTATTTTCATTGAATGCTCAAAGCCAGACTTGTGCATACTAGCAGGTCAGATACACTGTGACAATAGTAAGCCAAGTCATTCGCTCCACGCGACAATAGGGAACCCTTGCATTGAAAAGTGAGGAGTCAATGGGAAACAATAGTAATCACGTCTCATTTGTTGGCAGATTTGGATAGTTAAATACGGGCGGGGTTAAGGTAGTTCAGGGTATCTCTCTGCTAGAACCTCCTAACTCTTGACCTGGCGCCAAACATCTATTTTTTAGCGCCTCTTTTGATTGGAAAAAACATTAATAATACAGAACGTAAAACAAATACTGCACCACGGATTTCTGCCTCAAAAACCTAGGTAGGTACCTAGGTAAGCATCATAAAAGTGGCCAATCGGCTTAGGTACATGAAAACTACACTGAAAGATACATGCTTAGCACCAGGTTTGTAGAGTATACGGTAGACTATAGTAGTATTGAATGTAAATATTACACATTAGAAAATTAATGTTTCCTGATAGGTGAGGGCCATAGGTCCAAACCTCAAGCTACAGCGAATGTAAGACCATAAGATGAGGGCCGTAAGTCGGAACGCTGCGCTGGGAGTGAGCGGGCGAACTCAGAAGTGTAATTCGGCGTAGCCGAAACTGGCAGCGAGCGGAGCGCCAGCTTCTCCCTTTATAATGCCTAAGAGGGTGCAATCTTTAAACGCCTCTTCAGAAAACTCTAAAACCCTCGATCTTCAGGCAATCTACCAAACATTTTTCTAACTTGATAGTACAGTCCAGACTCCAGAGTACTTATACCAATATGACAGCCACGACAATAATTACTGCTCCCCCCAGAATCACGGCGGAGAACGTCGCCACTCTCTTTCCCGAAGTCGATGTATCGCTGGCTCGGGAGGTTTTCCCCTCGACAACGGAGGACTCCGCCAAAGACAGCGAAGAGCTCGCTGGCTACGATGAGGAACAGGTCCGTTTGATGGACGAAGTATGCATTGTTCTAGACGACGACGATAAGCCTATCGGAAGTGCTAGCAAGAAGGCTTGTGGGTGTCTCAATTCATTGTTGATCTTTCGACTTCTTCAGAAAAACAGTCTACTAACCTGTGTGATGGATAGGCCATCTCATGACCAACATCGACCGGGGTCTGCTTCACCGTGCATTTTCAGTTTTCCTCTTCGACTCCAACAACCGCCTGCTACTGCAACAACGCGCCTCCGAGAAGATCACCTTCCCCGATATGTGGACGAACACCTGCTGCTCTCACCCATTGGGTATTCCCGGCGAGACCGGTGCCGAGCTCGAGGCTGCCGTTCTCGGTGTGAAGCGTGCCGCGCAGCGAAAACTGGAACATGAGCTTGGAATCAAGGCGGAGCAAGTACCTTTGGAGAAGTTTGAGTTTTTCACGAGGATTCACTACAAGGCGCCCAGCGACGGAAAATGGGGCGAGCATGAGAGTACGTACCTGATATCTCGATGACTCCTGGATCCGCATTTGCAGTCGTTACTAACACAAATTCAAGTCGACTATATTCTCTTTATTCAAGCAGATGTCGACCTGGACGTGAACCCGAACGAAGTCCGCGACACGAAATATGTCAGCGCCGAGGAATTGAAGCAGATGTTCACTCAACCCGGCCTCAAGTTCACGCCCTGGTTCAAACTGATTTGCAATTCGATGCTGTTCGAGTGGTGGAGCCACCTCGGCACGGCGGGCCTGAACAAGTACAAGGGGGAGAAGGAGATTCGCCGCATGTGAGAGGTCTGCAACGAGAGCGCACGATGAAGGATTTTTGCATAGCCAGCAATCGGCACCTATTTGGCACTTTTTATATTCTGTTTGGAGAATAGCATGATACCATACTATAGCTTAAGCTAGTCACTTATAAAATCATTCTTGGACACGGAGTCAATCGGTCTTCTTTGGAGTTTACAGAGCTCGACAATGCCATCGCTTTGCTTTTTCATAGCAACTCTTTGTTCGTCTCGCAGGCCATAAAAGCTACGAATGACGAGTATCGAATCATTCACCCCGCCTTTCCCCCCCCAGAAATGTCGACTGCAGCTAACGTCTAGTCTGCGCTCCAGTGGCAATAAACAAGATACAGCTGCCTAGAATCACCACTCCAAGCAGAGTAAAAGTCAGCTGCGTTTTCCACCCACTCTGCACCAGGGCCGCCTTCCGACTATATTTCACTACCGTCCGGATATAGTTCGCGAACCCGTTCACAAGACACGCCAGACTCAAAACCCAGAAGATAATTCCCAGCGGAAGGGCCATGTGGCGTTCAAGACTCGTTGGTTGAGAGCGGAAGTGGAACGAAATGATGATCGCTATCGAGACAACGGCGAGGTACATGGATAGCCGGAGCCAGGAGAGGAATGTGCGTTCATTCGCGCAGTGATCTCGGGCATCGGAGGCAACGTTCTCGAATAAGAGAGCCCCGAAGAGAGGGCGGCTGAGGAAGAGATGTTTCTTATCCTCGAGGTGTCTGGATCATCGGGTCAGTCGTGTGAACTCGGACCAAGGGGATGCTTTCAAGGCGACCGGAGAAGGCAGAGTGCGAGTACGATGGTCTCGAACCTGTCTCACTCATTCCACTGCTCCGAGTGAAACAGTCGGGTCGAATACGTAGGGTTTTACTTACTCCTCTACTATCACTGGATTCGAGTTGGTCACGTTAATTATCGGATTGTATCGCGGCCGCAGAGAGGATGGATCCTGCCCTGCCGTGCTTTCAGGCATATCGAGTATTGATAAAATTCTCGCAAGAGAACCTTCGAAAGGTGTAGTTCATGGGCAGCTATGAAATTCATGGCGAGGAGATAGCCACAGTACCTTCATAGTGAAGCAGGATTGCCTAATTCTGGTGTTTGACTGCATTCTTGACAGATCCGATGATATAACCACGTGATATACATTTGCTAGTCCCCTTTGAGACTGATGTCATGTGTCAACTCACGCTTTGCAATTGATTGAGCGTGCCGCCATCCTCTCCGGTTTGATTTGTCTATAGAATTCCAAAGTCGACAGCAAGCATGGCCATACGGCCTTTTGATGAGTGCTGATCAACCACTCAATGATGAGACCCTGCGTCTTGCGGTCGTCGTTAGGTTTGGACGGAATGATTCCGAGGTGGAATCTATGAAGTTGCGGGGTTCATCATACGAGCAAGTTGCAGCAACGCAAGAGTAAGCATGGGCCCTTGGCGTCTTGCTCAATTGATCTTGGAGATTCTTTTCAGCAATATTGTCGATCCAAAAGTCAATTGATACGAGATGAGTCATGACTGGTGCATTTGGACGGCGTCAAAAAGGCAGTGGGCCCCTTCAATATCCGGTTCTCACAACTTTATTCCTAATCTTCTCTTATCGCCGGCGGTCATCGAGGCGAAATCTGCTAATCTAACCCGCCAACGCCATACCCAACGCCGTTCGTTCCGCTCCCAATCACTGTGCTTCGTTTTCTGTATTTCAATGGAGTGCTGAGGACGCTTCATTTCTGAGAACTGGGACCAAGGTGGATGATAGTGGCTGCATATCTCAGCATCCTTCGTATAGACTCGGCAATTGACAGCTTAATTCTCTGCATCTAAATAATTGTCAGGATGGGTCGCACTCAAGGCAGTTGCTCGCTCAACGCAGACGAGCAAACCTTTTACGGTCGTCGCATGTCAAGCTCCCCTCTGGCAGAAACGGCAATTGCTCGAGATATAGAAAATTATGCGGATAACGAAGGCTCAATAGCCACCACCGAAGACGACGACTACTCCGAGGCGTCGACAGTACGTGCGATCAATAGTCAGCCCGGCACAGGCCCTCATTCTCTAGTTGGCTCTTACCAACGCCCCAGCTTTTTCACCACTGTATCGCATAGCACAGTTGTTCCGCACCGGGGAGAGCCAGAATGGCTTTCGCGGAGGGAACGCGACCAGGCAATCGAAGAGGAAAGACGTCTTTTGACTGATAATCATGTTATTTCGGATGATATCACACCAATTGACCAGAACGGACGACAGCGCAGATTCAGCGGCCTTCTGTCCCGCAGTCTCCGATCAAAGAATCCCGAGCCCGAGCCTGTAGACTCACTGGGGTCTGGCAGCGAAGTGGAGAGGCGGCAGAGGACGGAAGCTGTTCCTGTACCGACAGAAGCTACCTCTCTGCTTGGGGCTGGGAATGGTGGCCCTGAATATAGCTTAAGAGATGCTGAAGCGATTGATCGAAAGTGGGAGGAAGCAGTGATTGCCGGTCTGATACATACAACATGGAAGCGAGAAGCTCAGGTCATAAGCAGATACGCTGCTCCGCTCACTGTTACCTTTCTGCTTCAGTACTCCCTGACGGTAGCGAGCATCTTCACCCTGGGTCATCTGGGCAAGAAGGAGCTTGGTGCTGTTAGCTTGGCAAGTATGAGTGCAAATATCACTGGCTACGCAGGTTCGTCCGTTTCCTCCATTCCAGCTGAATCTTATCATTCTAATTGTGCCATGTAGTCTACCAAGGCTTAGCAACCAGCTTAGACACTCTTTGTGCACAGGCATACGGATCTGGAAAGAAGAAGCTTGTTGGTCTACAAATGCAGAAGATGGTCTTCTTCCTTTGGACTATTACCATTCCTATTGTAGTGGTTTGGTTTTTCGCCGATATAATCCTCATGAGAATTGTTCCCGAGAAAGAGGTCGCCGAATTGGCAGGTCTGTACCTGAAGGTGGTTGCTCTGGGCGCACCGGGGTACGCTTGCTTTGAGAGCGGAAAACGGTACATGCAGGCACAAGGATTGTTCTCGGCATCCCTCTATGTTCTGTTGATCTGTGCTCCGTTGAATGCGTTTATGAATTGGTTCTTCGTCTGGGTATGATCGTGCCTATCATCTTCTCGCACAGTTTGATGGAACTTGACTGACTCGTAACTAGAAACTTGGCTGGGGCTTCATTGGTGCACCCATCTCGGTCGCCATTACCGATTGGCTAATGCCGCTCTTCCTGTTCCTCTACGTGTACTTTGTTGGGGGCTCAGAATGCTGGAATGGCTTGACAAAGCTTGCTTTCCGGAACTGGGGTCCAATGATTCAGCTTGCACTTCCCGGTTTGGTCATGGTGGAGGCCGAATGTCTTGCTTTTGAAATCTTGACTCTGGCTTCGTCATGGCTTGGCACAACTCCCCTCGCTGCTCAGTCGATCTTGTCCACCATCTCGAGCATTACGTTCCAAATCCCGTTCCCTGTGTCTATCTCCGGCAGTACCCGCGTCGCAAATCTCATCGGTGCAACGCTTGTGGACGCCGCGAAAACTTCCGCAAAGGTTACCATGGGAGGTGCAGTCATCGTCGGTCTGTTGAACATGATCTTTCTCTCATCACTGCGTCATTATATCCCCCTTCTGTTCACTTCAGACGAGGAAGTAATCCAGCTCGTAGCTGGAGTTCTGCCTCTCTGTGCAGCGTTTCAGCTTTTCGACGCCCTCGCGGCTAACTGCAATGGTATCATGCGCGGTATTGGAAGGCAAGAAATTGGAGGTTACGTCCAGCTGTTTTCATACTATGCTATTGCAATGCCGATCAGCTTTGGCACAACTTTCGGACTGAATTGGGGCCTGTTTGGTCTCTGGACGGGCGTCGCTATTGCGCTTGGTCTTGTGTCGATCATTGAGGCGATCTTCCTCACTCGGACAGATTGGAATAGGGCTGTGACTGATGCCCTTCGCAGAAACGCAATGGCGTAAATGCCATTGAATAGTTGATATTACATGATTGATGATGCATATGATATGCTGCTTCTCCCTTTCAAAATTGGGAATGTATAAACGGACGTTGAAGATTTGATGAGTATTCGGCCAGAGGCTTCATATAGGAGGATAAAGGCTCGACGCTGCTGTCTCGTCATGAAGAATCTAGACTTTTAGATATATAGTATCAAACTGAGAAGAACCAGGCCTTCACACCATTAATTCCAGCCACATACTCATAAATGTCATATTAGAGGTATATGTAATCCACAACCATCTTAGTACTCCAGAATGGCCCAAGTCTGCTCATCAACAGTCGAGAAAATAACACCAGCAGTAAGTAGCTCCTCACCAGCCCGTGCTACATCCGGCATGGGCAGATTCAATTTGGCAGCAATCAACTGAGCGTGTAGACCCTCGTTGCTCTGAGGCTCAGTCTTCAACAGGTTATAGACTCTCCGAGCGGCAGGGCTCATAGCAGGGAGATTACTGTTGCCAGCACCGTAGTCATTTGCACCACCCATTGCGGCGTCCGCACCGGCCCCAGCACCCGCAGCGCCGCCAGCGGCTCCACCACCAGGAGGGCCCCGCGTAAAGAACAAATGGATCGCAGCGGCTTCGAGAAGATGACAGTGCACCTCGTTGATGTTCGTCGTCGGCCGTACACAGTGAGCTCCCACGTATCGCTTATTCCCGAAGGACTTGATCTTCCCAAACACCTTTGCGTAGCCGTTCTGCTCGACTTGGTTCTTCCCGGTGCCGGTTCCCTTCCCATCATCCGTCTCCATCGTGTCGGCGGTCTGTGTGTCGATCCACTGCTTCACCTCAATTTCCCCTGTACCATCGTCGATCTTGTATGTGACGTTCGTGCTCTGTGAGCTGATGTTGCGGACTTGACCGATGAAGAAGACGCTGGCCGCGTCCGCTCCGTCAATCTGGAAGTTGGCTTCAGGGTATGGTTGTGAGGCGTCGAGGGCTTGTTTGACTGTGATCGGACGAAGGGTGGCATTGTTGTTGTCGCCCTGGGTTTGTATATGTCAGCATAGGCTTCATTCATCAAGCGATGAGCGTGATCTGAGATCGTCGCCTTGTTTGAGGCAACCTTGGGAGGCACAGCTCATTGAGGTTCTAACTCGGGAATGCCAACGGAGCACAGAGAGCGAAATACCTTCCCGCCAGCTGGACTGTTCATTTCTCCAGGCATGAAGCCACCACCGCCTCCACTCCCGTAGGAGTTGTTGCCATAGTTGTAACCCCCATCTGGCAGAGAAGTCAGTAAGGCCCTGAGAAAAAGGAAATACCGACGTAAAATAGCGAATCAAAAGCTCTGCTCACCCATTTTGTGCTAATTCTTGGGAAATTCGCTCTGAACACCCACCAGGGGAAAGCTATCAAATATCACCGTGAGAAGCAAAGCGCTCACATCATTTCTCTGAGACGGCTGCCATTTTACCTCTTCGGGACGTGTTGGACGCGTCGCGGGGCGGACTGTGTTTGTCTTGTTTGCAGCAAGCCTGGATTGCAGTAAAATCGGAACAGAGTTTGTTTCGCTCACCGCCTTGAGCTTCTTTCTCCACCGCCAAAACGAAAAAAAGTGGAAAATCCAGATTCGAAATTGATTACCATCACGACAGGGCTAGATTTGTTCTGGTCAGAAGGAGACGAGAGGCAATCTGGATTTCGCCCTTGCAAGCTATATTGGATGGAAAGTGTCTTCTGTTTATCTTGCAATCCGGGGAATGAAAGTTGAAGCCTGAGCTGTTCCAAGCTTCAAAATATCTTCTCCCGCCCTCGGGCGATCTCAAGCAACCTTTTTTCCGTATTCTGTGGAGGAACGGCCTGGGCCAGCTACGCAACAGAATCTCAAGATGCCTCGTCGCGCGGCATCCCCAGCGGTTTCAGAAAATGAGTTCGACATCACAGGTGCCCTCTTCCAGAACGACAGCGACTCCGACAACGAACAGTCGTCGGCCAAGTCCAAGCGGCACCCCCCAAAGAAGGTTCCCTCGCAGGCGCTCGACTTCCTTGGCGATGTGAATGAAGACGACGACGATGATGAGGCGTTTATCGCCGAGCAGCAGACATCTGCCAACCGCAAGGCTTCGAATCTCAAGGGTCGTACTGTTAAGAAGGGTGGTGGTTTCCAAGCTATGGGCTTGAATGCCAATCTGTTAAAAGCAATCGCTCGGAAAGGCTTCTCAGTACCGACTCCCATTCAGCGCAAGACTATTCCGGTTATTATGGACGACCAGGATGTAGTTGGTATGGCTCGGACTGGTTCGGGAAAGACAGCCGCTTTCGTTATCCCGATGATCGAGAAGTTGAAGAGTCACAGCACCAAGGTTGGAGCCCGCGGCCTGATTTTGTCCCCCTCGAGAGAGTTGGCACTGCAGACATTGAAAGTTGTCAAGGAGTTGGGCAAAGGGACCGACCTGAAGTCAGTTCTTCTTGTTGGCGGAGACAGCCTGGAGGAGCAATTCGCGATGTTGGCCGGCAATCCAGACATTATTATTGCGACACCCGGTCGATTCCTGCATTTGAAGGTGGAAATGAACCTGGACTTGTCCAGTATCCGTTATGTCGTTTTCGACGAAGCTGATCGACTATTCGAGATGGGTTTTGCCGCGCAACTAACAGAGATCTTGCACGGTCTTCCTCCGAATCGACAGACTCTCCTATTCTCTGCCACCCTCCCCAAGTCCCTTGTCGAGTTTGCCCGCGCTGGCTTGCAGGAACCTACATTAGTCCGTCTGGATACCGAGAGCAAGATCTCGCCAGATCTTCAAAATGCTTTCTTCTCCGTGAAATCTTCGGAGAAGGAAGGGGCCTTGCTTTACATCCTCAATGAGGTTATCAAGATGCCGACTGGGCCAACTGAGGTTGCACAACAGAGGAAAGAAGAGCATACGAGCGCCAATAACTGGAAGGACAAGAAGAGGAAGAGAGCTGAAATAGAAAAGGCTGTCAATACGAAAGAGTCTCCGACCAAGCATTCGACAATTGTTTTCGCTGCGACAAAACACCACGTCGATTATCTTTACTCTCTACTCTGCGAGGCGGGATTCGCTGTATCCTACGTCTACGGTGCATTAGATCAAACGGCTCGGAAAATTCAGGTTCAAAACTTTAGAACCGGCATGTCCAATATTCTTGTTGTCACCGACGTTGCGGCTAGAGGTATTGATATTCCTATCCTGGCAAATGTCATCAACTATGATTTCCCCTCCCAGCCAAAGATTTTTATTCATCGTGTCGGTCGAACTGCTCGTGCAGGGCGCAAGGGTTGGAGTTACAGTCTTGTCCGGGATGCAGACGCTCCTTATCTGCTTGATTTGCAACTTTTCCTCGGAAGAAGACTTGTTGTTGGCCGCGAATTTGGTGATCAAGTGAACTTCGCTGAAGACGTTGTCACTGGCAGTCTACCCAGGGACGGCCTCTCTCAAAGCTGTGAGTGGGTGACTAAGGTCTTGGACGATGATGCCGACCTTGCAGCCCAACGCACGGTTGCTGCCAAAGGTGAGAAGCTCTATATGCGAACGCGAAACTCGGCATCTCTTGAGAGTGCCAAGCGATCGAAACAGGTGGTTTCTTCCGACAACTGGACAAGCATACATCCGCTCTTCCAAGATGAAACTAGTAATTTAGAGGCCGAGCGAGAGAAGATGCTCGCCCGAATTGGTGGCTACCGGCCGCCAGAGACGATCTTTGAGGTCAACAACCGGCGCATGGGCAAACACGAGAGCGAGGAGGCTCTCGATACGATCAAGAGAGTTCGTACCACTCTAGAGTCCAAGAAGAAGCGTTCGCAAGCGAAAGAAAAGTTCGAGTTCCTCGAAGACGCCCCCAACGGCGACAAGAAGGCAGCCACCGAGGCGGAAGAGAAACAGAACGAGGATGCATTCTCTGACGAGGACGAGGACGTTCCCACGGGTATGGCGGATAACATGTCGATGGCGTCCGATTCAGAGCTGGAAGTCACCTTCTCTTCATATTCACAATCAAACGGAAACAAGGCGAAGAAAGCCACCGCGGCATCTTTCCAGAATCCCGAATACTTCATGTCTTATACCCCGAATAACAACTCCCTGGCCGAGGACCGAGCTTACGGTGTGCATTCCGGCACCAACTCCAACTTCGCCCAGGCATCACGCAACGCGACCATGGATCTGGCAGGCGACGAGGGAGGCCGCGGGTTCGGCGAGCCTCGTACACTGATGCGCTGGGACAAGCGACACAAGAAGTACGTGGCACGACAGAATGACGAAGACGGCTCCAAGGGCGCGCGCCTCGTCCGGGGCGAGAGCGGTGCGAAGATCGCAGCCAGCTTCCGGAGCGGACGGTTCGACGCATGGAGGAGAGGTAATCGTCTCGGCCGCATGCCTCGGGTGGGTGAGGCCGAGGCTCCTAATCTCGCTGCTGGTCTCAACGCAGCCATCTCCGGCAAGCGGTTCAGGCATCGCAGGGAGCAAGCGCCCAAGAGAGCCGATCCTCTTCGTGGTGATTACGAGAAGATGAAGATGAAGGCTGAAAAGGCCAAGGAGCGGTCAATGTCCAAGGCGGGCGGCGCGGCATCCCGTGGCAAGAGCGAGCTGAAGAATACGGACGATATCCGGATTGCGCGCAAGCTGAAGCAGAAGAGACGAGAGAAGAATGCTCGTCCATCGAGGAGGAAGTAACCGGAGGGTTAAGTTTCCGTTCAGATTCATGTATATACCAGGAATTGCCTATGATACCTGCTACAGTATAATCTGTTTTTGTACCAAAGCCCTCTTCAAATTATTTCTACGGAACGATCAAACTTCTCTGGTGACGAAGTTTCTTATGCAGGATGTCTTATCTGATGCGTATTACCTTCAAGCCCTTGATGCCGAACCACAAAGCTCCTTCAGTAGAAATGCCGACAAGTTAACGCCCCCGTCAATAGAGAAGCTCTCATCATGTCGATGAGAAAGTGTCACTTAATCTTCTACCCAAGAACCAGTGAATGAGAGTCAGCACAGCCATAAGACTCAAGCCTAGAATCTCAGAGGGTTCCCAGTTCACCCTATCCGTAAGGAAATGGAGAACCAGAATGCAAGTGGATGATCCCGCATCTCCATCAGCTGGACTATTGATTCAGACGGTGATTAGTGGAGCATCTGTGCAGCACTATTGTGTTCTCTTCTTTAGTAGGTCTTTTTTTTTTTTTCTTTTTCTTTGGCGAGTGGTACATCCGCATCCCTTCTCCTTCCTGCCACGCCCTCCCCCTTTTGGTGTACCGCGACCCTTCTCTTTCGGCAATGATTCCTTGCTCTTTATTTCTCCGTCTGTGTTGGGAGTTTACGTACGATAGATCATATTCTGAGCGGGGGATGCGTCCTTGCGCCCTCGCCTCTCCCGTCGTCTTTTTTCCTTCTTTTTTCTTTTGATGGGAGAGAATTCCCGTTCCCAAAACCAGTAGGTATGGATATGGTTGTCTTTGCACGGAAGTTTTCTACACATACCGGGTATTTGAGTATGTACCGATGCTCTCAAGGATAATCATCCGAAGTCCAAGAGTAAGAAGGGTGGATACTGGGTGTTGTCTGGACTGCGTAGATCAAGATCGGCAGCAATGATTTTGGGCGCTTCTGCATGAAATGGCACCAATTGACCTTCGACTATCTCTGATTCGTGCTTCTATCAATCAATACCGTCGGTCCATTGGCCTTGCGGCTATCAAAGTATGCATAATTGTGAATTTGTACAAGCACATCTCAGATAGCCGGAAGCTTTTCGATCCCAAGCTTGATCTCCGCGGAACGGAATCGTCCTAGGGCGACGAAGGAGATATTGTGGGAGAACATCCATTAGCCACATGAATTGATGCGCTGATGTCTGATACGTGGATATGTCATGAGCGCACATTGCTACGACGCGGGATCTCAAGCTGATATATTACGGTTGCTGAATGGCGGTTAGTCGGACGTTGACCCAGAATGATGGGACTGTCGATCCGTAGATGACGTTAATATATTTCATTGAATGCCAGCACTGGATGGTCATTTATCCAGCTGGATCACAAGCTGCAGCAAACCGGCCACTGGTCAGGGTCAGTCTCACCGACATTAGCCAGCTCCACTGGCCTAGTTCAGGGTTTTCCGACTGCGAATCCGAGTATCATGCATTGATTCATGCCGGTAACTCATCATTTCGCCAATTGAGAGCAGCTCAGGTGATACCTGTTTGGTGCGTCCAGGCTAAGCGTCCTTTGCTAGCACAAGATTGGCAACGGTCAAGATTGAAGACATTGCGATCACTTTCAAATCATATGGTTCGGACTATACCCTGTACCGGTTGCTTGATAATCACTCCCTGTACTTCAGTTGCATAGTCAGACCACTCATCAACCCCTTCAGTTGTCAATCTCACTAGCTGATGCATTAAGGAGATATCACAAGGGGAGTCATAACAGCAAATCGTCGCACAAGTTATAACCTACTCACCAATTATATGGCAGTAAGCTGAATATTAGCAAGTGAAAGCGTCCACAAAGTTCAGTGGCTTTATGCAAAAGGAGAAAAGTAGTTAAGGCCAAAGTTCATGGTGTTACAACCTACCTGCTCCTCCTATCACCGCCATCATAGGCATTTGAGCAGATCACACAATGCAACGGAGAAGCAAAGCTAGTCTGGGACCAATGGTTCTTTTTCTCCGAGTAGTCGTAATGCGCGGTCTTAGGGGTATAACACTGGCTTCTCATCGCTGCATATTGACTGCTCCAAAGAATATCCGCTGTTAATGGATGTTCTTGCCCAGTTAGAGACTGGCATAGACTCAAAGTGTTGACGCACGATTCGGTGAGAGATCAAAGAGGAGCAAGTAGCTTGATAGACTCGACGATGTCGTGTTCATTTGCAACTCGCTATTCGGCGAAATGTGGGTGCCAGGGATGAGTGGCAGCTGTTTTGCGTGGTATTGATAGGCGATGACTTATCGCCTAGAAGGCGTCTGATGTAGTGCATGAGCTTTCTCATCTCTGTCTTTCCCACATAAAGACCCATCGTAACAAGTGCCCAAAATTGACAGGCACAGCCTTCTGATGGCGTTGTGAAGCTGATGAAGCCAGTTTTGAAACTGAAGCGATTTCTGCAAGGAAAGGCGCGAAGCCGATGACTTGTGATGAACGACAGGAAGTTACTCGCTATATTCAACCTATTTCACATGTTCCATGGCAATAAATCTGGCCAATGCTTAGCAAATCTTTTGATTCGGGGAATAACTCTCGATCAAACGTGGCGATGACTTCGGGTCTGATCTCCCTTTTCCGGAATCTTTGGCACTCTCGTGTAGCGAGCTGTTGTGGTTTTGCAACAGTGAGATGTATGATCTCGCTGTTCATTCGATACTGTAGAGCAACATTTTGAACCATACATACAGCACGGAGTAGTCATGATGCCAATTGGACAAAGAGGGTCTCCAATGTCACTTTACCTTTCTTCTCTTGAGCTATATGCTGTCTTGTTCATACACGGGAACACGTCGATCAGTCAGCAGAAATTGCGAATACAGAGTAGAAAGTCATTCGTGGTCCTCTCGACCATCCATTTGGCAGATCTCAAGGCTCGCGCAATCGAAGACTAGACCAGTCAGACGTGCCGATAGCAGGTTGATAGTGTGGTATGAGCTAGAGCAGGACGTTGTTGAAATAGAACCACCAAGACACTTCGTTGATGCAGTACAGGGGTGCTTTGTAGATAGATAGATAGGTGATTGATTAGCAAGATGCCATGAGCAGCGTGACAAATACCGGCGTCAATCGTTGCCCCATTAGTGAGTACTGCGTGTTTCCCAAAACGGTAGCTCGGCTCACGAGATCCGCTAAACCCTATTCGGGAAGACGCGAAGCTCCAGCAAAGGAAAATGCGAGACTCTTCTGTTCAACCTCTTGTCTCGACTCTCAAATCATAACTGTTCATGAAGATCTTACACGACGTATTTTTATTACTGGTCGTTATGAGCCTCTTCTATCCTCTGGAGGAATCTTAGTGGTTGGTGGCTCGAACTATTGACACTTCTGAGCGCCTAACTCTTTAGACTAATGAGCCGATCGTGCTGGCGCCTCCCGCTCCGGCCTGCATGAACTGCTTACATTCGCTGAGACTGACTCCGCGTCTTGTCAGTGGACGCTTGGTCCCCCAACACAACTGAACTGAAAGCCTGAAAAGCATGGTATCAGTGTATCACACAACGTATCCATCACACTGTGAGCCTGTGACTGATGACGATGACCGGACCCCTTACTGCTGGCACCTCGTGCGGCATGTTCCACAGTTGGAGCTCATTCTCAGTCTTGACTCTTGAGCCCTTTTGTCTGGCTGAATTACGGCTGTCACTGATGTGATCGACCGTTCTAGCTTAGCCTTTGGCCTTATGTCATGTACGAAGTGTTCGTGGACAATCTCATTGGCATGTCATCTCGTCGTCCGCTTTTCTCTGCTAATCGATTTCTTGCACGCAAGGCTGTCAAAAGCGCGACAAACGAAGAATCTGGGATAGCAAGCGAAGATATTACCTGACACCCTACGAAGTGACAAGCACAGTTAAAGCTTCGAGTATTTCTCCGACGTGGCTCCGCCCGAGTATCTGCTAGCGTTGAAGTTTAGACCCTCGAACTCGGCACCAAATGGCCGGATGTGGACAATCCTCAAAGATCCAACAGGTGATTTTCAACGCATATACATACCTGTGCCACCGAATCATCCAACATCTCTGAAATCATTAATTTTTACCGCTTGACCATGCTCAGTTGGTTCGGTGTCAACCTTACCAGAGAATTGGCGACACTACTGACTCGAACGGACGGCTCTTATCGGACATAATCAGGCAATAATAGATAATTTTCACGCATATCATTTGACCCAATGTGACTGGAACGAAAATACCCCATCGGATCCTTGCCAATTTCACCGTCTAGAACGTTGCGGCTGCAGCCACAGCTTGATACCAAGTACGAAGTACTTAGCATTCGTATCCCAATTACTCTGTAAGACCGACAATTATCCAATGTACCAAGGACCCCAGCATCCTACGCTGACAACCCCCGAGGTTGAGCTGTGGAGATTGCGCACTTTTGGCTCTCAATGGGTGGTCTTGGTCCTTAGAAATAAGAGCCATACTCCGTGCTGGGCTGGTGATCCTGATTCCTGACAGAACCGGTCTTGCACCGGACTTACGCCGAAAATGGCCCACAACGGTCGATCCAATAGATCTAGGGCCACCGTTGAGAACAGACGAACTAAGTTTGTGCACACTGCACTATGCACTCTGCAGGTGCTGTGTGCGACTTCAGTTCTCTTTGAGTGAACTCCGCAGTCCGCGCTGTTATGCAGAGGGGCACAAGTTAGACAGTCATGAGCTTTCTCTTGGGAACAAGAGCGCGCATTCTTTGAACTCATCGATCGAAAAGCTACACGACTCGAACGAGCTTATGGCGCTGGACACGAAGCTCCAAAAAGAATCGATAGTCTAATCTTCACACCAGATATACTTACTACATTGTCATAAATTGCTATGATGGTGGGTCTTGGTGTCAAACCGCTGGGACACAGCCATTGCGGAGAATTGTAGCTTCTTTGCCTTCGCTCGAAAGCTTGAACTGGCGTCTGGCGTCAAGCCTTTTGACCGTGCGATAAATGCCATTGGCTGCCACAGCTACTTCTCGGAACTGCCATTAGACGAGATCCATTAATTCCATGAGCGAGGTGCGTCCAGGAGGCCAAGGTCTATCTGGTCAATTGTCAACTCATCAAGCTGTCCCGTGCCCTCGGAACCACACGAGTCCCACGACGATCTGCATTCCGGGGCTGGGACTTGAGCAAGATCCCACCAGGTTTCATTCTCAAAAATCTCCATATCATGACGAAGAAGAGACCGCTTCCATTCAAGTCAGATAACTCAGTAAAAGAAAGGGCTCCATTGTTGTCGTCTGTCGACTGGACTATTGCCAAGGAAAAGAACAAGAAAAAGAACAAGGACAAAAACGAGGAAAAGGAAAGGAAAGAAAGAAAAGGGGGACCCCTAAGAAGTGAAGCCATCATTTGGACGGCTGATCATTTAGGGAAAAGAAGCAGCTCCTTGAGAGTTGCTGGAATCGCTCTCCAATAATGCATACTCCGCCCCTCTGATTCGAGCTGGAGGAAATAAGACGCAGGCGCAGTGCTATTGGTCAGAGAACAGGATTCGGTGATTTCTTTTTTGGGCTTTTAAGAAAAACAGCCGGTGCTGTGTATCGTTCAAAACTTTCTATCGTACATGTCTCATGTGTGAAGGGTACACAGAAAACCAGCTCTGCGCTGATACGATTGGCCGGACAGGCTAAAAAACCTGGCGATGAACCATTTGCGAGTCGCTTTCTCACGCTTTCTCACTTTCTCAGTCCCAATTCGGTTTTTAGCGCATGTCAAACTGGGACAGAATGAGCTAAATGACAATGCACCAGCACAGCTCCATCCCTGCCGAGCGGACTATTGGCAATGGCTGCAGGCGGGCGGGCGCGGACGTCGATCCGTTGCTGGCTCTTTTCGCCTTGCGTCTAGTCCTCCTGATTCGGCAACATCCCATGATTTCAGTTCTCTCGAAAGAAAAAGAAAAAAAGAAAAGAAAAGAAAAGGGAACAGAGCTGAATTGTTTTCCCCACTCCACAGGAGCAGCTGCTCTTGAGCTGGTCTGCCCTGCTAGGTCCTGGCCTAGTGCATACTATGGAGTATCGACATCGACCCAAGAGGTTGTTTAACCTTTTTGGGATTGTGTCACTGGCAGGGCAGTGGCACCCTTATTCCCAATCGAGGTTTATCTGGAGGAGTCCTTTGAAGAAGAGGAAACAAGGGAAAGGAGAAAATGATTGTCGGAATCTTACAAGAACGAAAAACAGAAACAAAAAAAAAAAAAAAAAACGAAAAGCCACAGACAAAGGACAAGCAACAATGTGACTGACGGTTCCGTCTGTCGAGGCTCATACTGAAGATTGAGACCTTATTATTGATTGGCCTTGACTAGGGGCCCCCTCTCTCCCCGGAGGATTGGAAGCTGACTATCAGTCTACTATTCGTCCCTCTTGAATCTCCCATTCCTAGTGAGCACTGAGCAGTGACACCCTTCCGCCGTCCGAAGTACGAAACGAAAACTCCCCCCTCCTCCATTTTGACTCCATTGAGATCTACCGTGATGGAGATCAAGTCTATCGGCTGCTAGTCGCTGTTGCACTGGCCACTATAACCCACTCTTTCCTCACATCGCATGCCGCATCAGAGCTTTTCCCGTTTTAAGGTAGAAGCCTTATCTAACCCGCGAGAAAAGAAAGACTAGATTATTCAGACTCTATCTATCTATCTATCTATCTGGCAGTATTGTCTCCTCGCTCGGAGTCGATGGCCTGGAAGTCTTCCTGACGGTTGATGAGCTGTATGCCACTCCTGACTCCAGAAGGAAAGAAACCGGTATTCAGGCCTCCTCTGGCTCTCTATTTGTTCGCTCTACTCCCTCGGCTGTTCGATTTAATCGGCAGAACTAAGTGGTATCCGGCTGGTTTCTGCGCCTCGTTGCCCCGTATAGTTCACCGTTTTCCCCTATTTCCCCCTTTCGGGTAGTGGACTGTCTCCAAAGTTCACACAAGGCCATAACGTCTCGGGCCCAAATTTTCAGCATGCATCGTGACTCGGAGGTAAGGCATATTTGCTTTCCCTTTTGCGCTGTTTCCTTTCTCCTTCCCTTCTTTCGCTGAAATGTCCCGCTCTATACTCCTGCCTAGCCCCATTGATCGCCCTTCCCATACTGCAATAAATCAACCCTACATGAGAACCGCCAAAGCTATGGGAGACCGCTGTCATGTTGTGGCCATAATTCAATGATCGACACACCCTAGTTTATGACTCGTCCAATCGCGAATATTATACTGACTGATTATAAGCTCCTCCAGTCCTTGGACTTGTAAGCGTGAGAATCTCAGATGACGACTGGCGATTGAGAAGAACTATTGCGATTGGATAGATACAGCAACTCCCGAAAGTCTTTCTCCATGCCAGATATGCTGCCTATTTCAACATCAGATCTAGCTTGTTTTCTGTTCCTTTGAAATCCTTTCAGTCGTAGTTCCTCTGCAGCAACAGGGACCCTCAACCTACCAAATGCAATCACTCGTCCTCCCCCCTACAGCCTTCACCAGCACACAGTTTGGACATCCAAGATTCAATTCAGCCTCAGAACGGCTTGCGCTTAATTACACCATACCGACAAATGCTCGTCTGTGCAATCCCCGGGACCTTCCACCCGTTCACCCTATGTCCAGCTCGGTCCCGGCAGAAGACCCGCTGGAGACTCCTCGACACGTCAGACCACCCCCTCATACAACGGGGCTACCAACAGGTACGGCTGTGCCAGTGACTGCGCCCACAGTGACAACCGCGTCCGTGTCAGAGGCGGCTCTAGCTTCGGGATCTTCCGCCCCCGCGACAGGCCATCATTCAGCATTCCAACAACATGTGGCCCCTGCCACTGGAGAAGAGATACGACCACCATTCGTCTTCAATGAAACCGTCCCTGCTTCCCAAACACCGCTTGGGACCACCGAACAACGAGCAGTACAAGAGCCCTCGACGACGTTTCCACCCTCAACTTTCGGAACCTCACCGACTGGCACAACCACAAGAGCGCTGCTGCCAAAAGGGACGAGGCGCACTAAAGCTCACGTCGCATCGGCGTGTGTTAACTGCAAGAAGAAGCATCTGGGGTGCGATTCTGCCCGGCCTTGTCGACGGTGCGTCTTGTCGGGAAAGGAGGTAAGTCATTCTATTCTAGTCCACATTATGCTGGGAGATATTGGGTTCGTTGCTAAGATATCAATGCTGTTGAAAAAAAAGGCCACCTGTGTTGATGTTACGCATAAGAAAAGAGGAAGGCCACCACTGAAGGCTGAAGATGCGTCTCTCAGGACGTACGCATCACAGGCAGAGAATGCGGCGACATCTGGAGAGCAGCAGACCCCTCTATCCAGACGCACTCATACGCATAGGTCGACCGGCTCCCGCGAAATTCGACCTGTGACAGACCTTCAGATGCCTGGTACACCACGTGGGACAGTTGGGTTTAGGACTCCCCCGGGTCACCCTCACAGGTGGTCGACTTCCGTATTCCCCCAGGTCGTGGATCCCTCATTATCAATGCAGGCAAATCTTGGACATAGGCGCTTTTCTTCTTCCGGCTCCATACCGCAGATGACAGTCGCGTCGCCGCCGAGTTTTGTCCCTCTGACCAGTGGTTTCAGTCCTGCGCTCAATCTCGGCCGCACGCCGATGGGTGCAGGAAGGCCTATTTCTTCATATACTAACCAGGCATTACCTCCCGCCACATCTCCACCGCAATATCAACAACCATTCGGTGTGCCCATGCCGGCATATACAGGGAGTCCAAGAATGGTGAGCCGGTTGCCGGCGGGCGACGCTCGCGAAGCATACCCCGAATCTCCAGTCCGATTGCCCCCTATTTTTCCTCCAGCGATGACGCACTCCCGTCCCCCGCCGCAGGCACATCGGTTGAGCGATCCGTACCCGGCAGCGTGGTCGCCTCGACTTCGTCAGGAGCTGATGCAGCCACAACCACAGCAGCAGCAGCAGCAGACTGGAGGTTCGTCGCCGCACAGTTTCATGGAGCCAATATCTCCTGCCACGCAAACGCGTCACGCAGCGCTCGAACAATCAATTCCAATTATACAAGGAGTACAAAGTCTTTCAGCGCAGTCGTCTCCAGCTCGTCCTCGACACGAGCAACCGGCTGCGGGATCGGAAACAGGCGAATCCAGGCCCGCCAAGAGGCGAAAGATGGCCTTGGATGATATGGTTAACGACTGATCTTTTGAATCTCCTATAAACAGGGTATAATATGGGTCCGGATTGACCCCTTTTTCTTCGTTTCCGGCCACTTGGAAGTCCCGGAGACCTCCTCAGGATATCTAATTCTTGTGGCCGGTCCTACGAACATGAACGACCTTGATGCTTACATTTCCTTTGTCCTTGTGTCTCCAATAACCATCTTAATTCGCTGTACGATTTGATCACCACTCATTGCTGCCTTGTACAGCTGACGCCGCCCGCCAACTCGCTATTTCCTTTGTTTTTTGATATCCCTGGTATTCGCATGCGGTCCAGCACCCCTGGTGTCATTATTACATCTGCTACTCGGGTTTCCAGCCACATTTACACCATACGCTGGACGCTCCATATTCCACGATCGTCTTCCATTCTTTCCATTTCATCAAGGTCAAGGTTCATCTCTGGAGTTTCTGGAATGTTGTTCCCTCCGTTGGTTCTTCTTCTTATGCCTGGAGTTCTCACGGGTCACGTCATTCGCATTACTGTATTCGATCATCCACACTGCTGCATACTGCATAGGAGGGGAGCGGGGCATATATATATTCTTTTTTCCTTATTTCTGGCTCCTTTTGTCAGCTTTCTATATGTCTCATAGAGTTTACATACAACAGACTGGCTCTGATATCCTGCTGGACGGATGGTCTAATATCTAGTGCTTGTGACTATATGGCTGAGGGATACTCGGGAGTTGAATAGAGTTGTTTGATGTTTACTGGTTTCTGAGGCTGGTATTGTACCTACAAGTGGACGGAGATGGAATAGATGTCTTTCCCGCATATCGATTCATCCTTGACAAGCGACAACGCGGGCCGGCCGGTCAAGGCCTAGAGTAAACAGAGTCATCATTCGTTCAAGTCCATGTATATACACAGCATCTATTACAAAGGGGACGAAACACCTATAAGAACAACCACATCCCGACTCTCTTGAGCATCCCAAGCGCCCCCTTTTCACTCTGCCCGTGCTTGATACGCAGGATCTTTTCAACCCGGGACTGGCTCGCAGCACCCTCGCGAAAAGTGGCACCATTGCTTCCATCAAGCTCGGTATTCCGGTCATATCGGTCCGTGACCAGGTCCATATCATGCAGACGCACGAACTTGGTCCGCTTGGCCAGCTTCCAGCCTACAAACATGACAAGCATGATCGGGATCTCGATGTAGAAGGAGACGAAGTCGACCGCCTGGAAGGACGGGCTGAAGCAGGACCAGCCCTGCACGAGGATCAGGACGATATTCAGGCCGACGGCGATGATGGGGCCGGCGGGGTACGTCCAGTTCTTGTAGGGGAGGAGATGTTCTAAGTTTTGGTGGCGGATGGCGGCGCGGAAGCGGAGTGATGCGATGCCGATACAGACCCAGGAGATTTGGTTGGAGACGCCGACGATGCTGGTTTTGTACTGTGTTAGTGTCCGTTTGAACGGATGGTTTGATGGGTTTGTGGTAGTGGCTTACTTCTGCAACCATGTCCAGAGCTGTCCGGCTCCGATGTAGCTGGCTCCGAAGCACAGGCCGCTGATGACGGATGTAGCCAGGACGGCGACCCAGGGGATCTGGAAGCGGTTGAGGTGGCCGAAGAATCGAGGGGCGTGGCCGTCCACCGCGAGGGTGTAGAGAAGCCGGGACCCGGCGAAGAGTGCGTGGTTTGCGGCGGAGATGACGCTGGTCATTAGCACGGCGTTGATAAAGCTGCCTGCGACGGCGCTGCCGGCTTCCATGAAGACGATGGTGAACGGACTGGTAGCGGTGGTTTTCTCCGACAGGTTAGGGTAGTTATAGGGCACGTTTAGACCGATGAGAATGATGGAGATGATGTAGAAGAGGACGATGCGCCAAAAGACATTGCGGACAACACGGGGCAGGGTTTTGGCTGGGTCTTTAGTTTCTCCTGCTGTGATGGCGATTGATTCCGTGCCGCCACTAGATGAGGTCAGCTCTTCTGCCTTCGTGATGTTAGATCAGAGGAGCATACTAAGCAAATGAAGCCGTGACGAAGACGGAGGCGAATCCACCGATTCCACCGACGAAGGGGGCATCGCCGACGTAAAAGTACTTGTCGCCAATGTAGCTGTGCTCTCTATTGCCCCCGCAGTTGACAACAATCCCAAGGATGATGAAGATCTTGAAAGAGTTAGTCTCAAATCTTAGGAAACTAGAAACGTGGGTTCAGATGTGAGCATACTATAATCGTGATGACCTTCAGTAGACTGAGCCAATATTCAATCTGCGGTGAGTTAGCAAAGTTCTTGTCAAAAGCACACCATGACCATACCTCTCCGTAGACTCTCACAGACATCACGTTCAATATAATAACAACAACGAGAAAGATCAAACTGATCGCCCAGCCTGGAAAATTATCCGTCCAATACTGAAGCAATAGCTGCAGTGCAATGACATCCGACGCCGTCGAGACAGCATCATTGAACCAGTAATTCCAAGTCAGAGCAAACCCAAGAGCATCGTCAACGAAGCGACTGTAGCATTCATCAGCGATACTCCATTCTATCCATCAATGGACTACTCACCCAGCAAAAGTACAGAACGAACCCGCAATGGGGATAAACGCCGCCATCTCACCCAAACTCAACATCGTGACAAACACAATTCCACCGCATATGGCATACGAAATCAGCATCGACGCAGGCCCACCTGTTGCCAGAGCCTTCCCCGTTCCCAGGAACAGGCCCGTCCCGATTGTACCGCCGATGGCGATCATCTGCACCTGTCGGGCGGAGAGCTTACGGGCGAGTTTGTCGGCGTTGACATGTTGGTTGAGTTCGAGGGGCTCTGCGCCGGCACTCTTTTCGCTCAGAGGCTCCTGGGGAGCTTGAGGGGGATATTTTTCGATATCATGGGCTGTCATCTTGACTTCTACCGTACAGGCAGAGGACAGCTCTCCGAAGAAGTGTCTAAGCGCCTCAGCAGATCACTGACACGCTCAAGAACCTTGCTTGGGGTATCTCCAACTTCCAGCAGTCACGATTGACTCAGATTCCCCTTGGCTAGCAGCCATGTCAGTATGCTGTCGATGGAACTGCACTCAGAAGGTTCCGACTCACCTCTAAGTACTGGTTCTATACTACACTTCCCATTTCGGAAATAAGCACGTGACTCTACCAGACTTCTCGATTTTCAACTTCTTCAGGTCAACTGAAAATGGACCAATGCCCACAACAGCAGCATATGAGTAGGAATTCAAAGACAAACAGCCTCCTCCTCCGCAGAAATTCTCTTGCTGATTATGCCATCTGCAACGATCTTGATGCAAAGATAGATCCCTGTCTCAACGTTACATTCGAGAGCGTTTAGCGTCGATGGCGTGATCGATAAAAATTACGTACTGAGATGGGCCTGAATCCCTTCGCTTGAATATCTTCTTCTTCGATTGATCATGATCGAACGGATCCGTGACAAGCTAAAAGCCTCGCAAGTCCCATTCGCATATGGCTGTCGGCTGAAGAAGAGTAAGCCGGATTGACGATTGGCTCGACCAGATGGAATTGCCGACCATGGGTCCACGGTCTACGCCACATTTTGTCTGAAAAGCTTCGCTGGAGTCAACTCGCTAGACGATATTTGTCTTGGCGGGTAGGGAATTAGGGATATGCCCCGAGTTGGTAGTGGGGACTGGAGGTAGAGATAGCTGTTTGTGGATACTGGATAATAATGCTCATTTACAGTAGTGTCTAAGCTATCACTATATACAAAGCTTGATATAACACCCTTAGACCAAAGAATGCTTTTGATACTTCGCTAGAGGGAAGTGCAATAAGAGAAAAGGAAAATGCATCCGTAAATCGTCGATACAAGACTGCTAACCAAGCAAGCCACTGGCCAGCGATTCCAGATCCTCCAGGGTTTGAATCTGAGCAGGAGCGTCGGCGCCTTTGTCGGTGGACTTCTTGCTCCTCTTGTACCAAGGCTCCGCTTCCTCGTCCGCCTCGGCGAACTTGACCTTTGGCTTCTTGCTGGGACGTGGTGCTTCGTCCTCGGAGGCGGAGAATCCTCCATCGACGTCTTGGTCCCCTTCGTAGGGAGGCAGTTGTACCAGTGTCTCTTCTTCCTCGGCTTCGGCAAGCAGCTCGCGCTCGCGGGCCTTGCGTTTCTCCTTCTTCTCGCGCCGCTTCTGTTTGGCGATCTCCTTGTCCTCCATGTCCGCCATACGTGTGCGCTCCGCCTCCTCCGCCAAGAATTTGGCCTGTTGATCCTTGGCGTCGCCGCGGGCCTTGAATTGCTCTTCGTCTTCCAGCTCATACAACTCGTGGGCGTTTCCTTCGTCGTCGTAGACGAGTTTGGTTCCCTTGCCCTTGAATTTGAGTAACTTCTTCTTCGACTGGAGGAGCTTCTCGCGACGCTTGGAGTCAATGACCAGAGGTGTACTGCCATCAATGTGCACCACCTTGACGTCCTTCTTTTCACCCTTCTCGCCGTCATGATCCTCATCGCTTGACAATCCCAGGTCCTTGTCACCCGCGTCGAAACGGCGTTTGACGGAAAGGAAGTCATCATCCTCGTCCGCATCAGCCCCGGCACCTGCATTGGGTGCGACCATTGTGCCGTCGTCATTGATGAGTTTCGAGTAATGCTCCGCCAGCACGTCTTGGTTCCGCCGCTCAAACATGCGGTCGTATTTGGTCCGTACCTGTGGTTCCTCCTTCTTGCTCTTGGTCTCGCCATCCTCCTCGTCCGAGTCATCGTCATCACTAGACAGGTGTGCTGCGGCTCGGGGTGCGTTCTTCCGTTGCTTCGTATCGTCTCCCTTGATGAATTTGATCCGGGGCGCACCAGGTAGACCTAAGCTAGCCGCGAACTCATCCAGTTTCAATTCCTTGAGCTTGAAAATCTCCTTGTCTTTCTGAATATAGACAGATTTGACATAAGAAATGAACGCCTTCTGTCCAATATACTTGAGCTCAGGATCCTTGAAGCACATGTTCTGTAGCTGATCCTTGATACTCTGTTGCTTGTTCGCTTTAATGT